TCACTGTGTATTTGGTTTGGAGTTCAGGGTTTAGCATATTATAGTTTTCAATGAAAGTTTGAGTTGAATTGATAAAGTGAATTTTAGAAGGGAGAATTGCTTTTACTTGAAGACTGCTGATCATGAAGCAGTCATATGTCAGCATGTTTTAATATATGTAATCATAAATTATATATTATCTATAATTTCATAAGTTTATTATGGAATGTATGTGTATTTAGGAAAATAAATTTAAAGCTATTTAAAACCTATTTCAACTTATTGAAAGAGTAATACATGAACATCCATATATACTTACCTTAGAATCAGAAATAGCTAACATTTGCCATTTTTTTTGTCTCTCTGTCTTTTTTTTTTTATTTTTTTTTCAATGTTTTTATTTATTTATGGGACAGACAGAGACAGAGCATGAACGGGGGAGGGGCAGAGAGAGAGGGAGACACAGAATCGGAAACAGGCTCCAGGCTCCGAGCCATCAGCCCAGAGCCTGACGCAGGGCTCGAACTCACGGACCTTGAGATCGTGACCTGGCTGAAGTCGGACGCTTAACCGACTGCGCCACCCAGGCGCCCCTCTCTTTCTGTCTTTTTATGAGTGTGTGTGTGTGTGTGTGTGTGTGTGTGTGTGTATACCTGTGTATAAAATTTTCTTGGTGGTCCCCAATACTTCAATTATATCTCTTAAGAATAAGGATATACTCTTCATAACTATCATTCCCATCACATGCAAGAAAATGGCATTAATATTGAAATTTCTCCATTTGTCCCCAAAATACCTTCTGTACCTATGTCTTTTCATCCAGAATCCAATCACTGTGTATTGCATTTTGCTATGTTACTTTCATCTGCTTTAATCTAGAAAATATTACTGTATGTATGTATGTATGTATTTATTTATTTATTTATTTATTTATTTTTAATGACAGACATATTTAAAGAGTTCAGGCGAGTGATTTTATAGAATGTGCCATATTCTTGATTTGTGTGACTGCTTCCTCATGATTAATTTGAGGTTAAAGTTTGGTGTGAAGCCTACAAAAATAATAACATAAATAAAAGTGTACCATTTATTGCACTATGGTAGGAGGCACATAATTTCAAGCTATCCATTAATGGTGATTGTAAATTTGATATCTTAGGGTGGTAACCACCATATCTCTCTTATTATTCCTTTTCTAATTAAAAATTATCTGTAGGGTCAGATCATGTGAATATCCATTCCCCAATAATCTTTTACTCAATGTTTTACCATCCATTCATGATATTTCCTTGACTTAGTAAAATGCTGATTGCTACAGAATGATGATTTTCTGATTTTATCATTTCATTTACATATATTTCCTCACGTATTTCTGTGGAGAAGAGCTTCTTTCCATTCCCTCATTTTTTCTTTCCTCCTCCTTCTCCTTCCCCCAACTTTTTTGAGTATCATTATGGACTCATGAATTTTTAAAACCCTATTTAATATGTTATAATAAATGACCATAATCATTATATTTGGCACTTCTATTATTCCATATTTAGCTGGTGGGAGCCCCTTTAAACTTGCTATGTGTCCTTCTATAGAACTTTGTTTTTGGATACTTTCTTACTTTCTGAGACATCAAGGTATTCCACATTGCCTTGTGTTTTCTCTGCCCTGGACCTGAGCCCAGCTATTTCTACAGGTAGCTCCTGTTCTTATTAGTGGAGAATAGAATTCAGAAACCAGGATCTGGTTGCAAGATATGATCATTGCTACTGAAGAAGTGTTAGTGCTTCTTCAGTAAACAGATCTAGGAATTAGAATTTTTAAAAAGGCATTGGTTTATACAGATATCTTCACAGAAATCTCTCTTACCCTTCCCCTTTTATATGGATTTCTGTTCTTCCAGAATGAAAAACGCTGCTTTCTAATACCACCAGTATATTTACTCATTAGCTCTACCCTTCAATATTCTTCAGTTGATAGTCTGATATCAATATTCTACCACTAGTAAGCCTACTAAGTAAACTTCAGTTTCTTTGCAAAATTTTTTCTCCTTAGAATCCACCTCATTAAAAATATATACTCAGAATACTGTACTTGAAATTCACTTGAACTCTTGTTGATACACAGCATTATTTGTTTCTGTTTTACTCCATTTGAAGGTTTTCTTTTTCACCCTTTTTGAAGTCTCATTCCCATTTTTATTCTAACTACCCCATGCCACCCATCCTCTGTGAGAGTGAAACTTTTCTTACAAGTTTGATTTCTGAGCCATATCAATGTTTTCCATAAAATTAAACTAACAGGATTCATCAGTAATAATGACTCTCTTTATCCTTAATAATACTTTTTGTTTCATTTCTGATATTAGGGTTTCTACATCACCTTTTTTTTGCTTGGTTTTCAGTTGGCCCAGTTGCCTTTTTCTGTCCCTTTAATATGTATGTGATTATGTTTTAGTTGATATGTATACAGTTTGAGAAACTGATTTTTATCTAGTTTACTTTGTAATTGCTTTTAAGTTTGATTGAGTTTTTTTTTTTTTTTAATTTTTTTAATGTTTTATTTATTTTTGAGACAGGGAGAGACAGAGCATGAACAGGGGAGGGTCAGAGAGAGGGAGACACAGAATCTGAAACAGGCTCCAGGCTCTGAGCTGTCAGCACAGAGCCCGACGCGGGGCTTGAACTCATGGACCGCGAGATCATAACCTGAGCCGAAGTCCGCTGCTTAACCGATTGAGCCACCCAGGCGCCCCAAGTTTGAGTTGTTCTTATGCTATGATATGTTCTGGCTTCTCTCTCCCCTTCTTTTTTTTCTTTTTTGCCTTTTATTGTAATGATTTATTTTTACTTCATTTTTTCTAATTGTTTGAAAGTGATATATTCTATATCTCTTATTTTAATGGTCATTTAAAAAAATATTTATTTTTGAGAGAATGCAAGCGGGGGAGGGGCAGGGAGAAGGAACCAGAGGATTCAAAGCAGACTTCATGCTGACAGGAGCGAGCCTGATGTGGGGCTTGAACTCAACAAACCATGAGATTGTGACCTGAGCTTAAGTTGGATGCTCAACTGACTGAGCCACCCAGGTGCCCCTTAATGGTCATTTTTAGTGGCCATCTTTGTCATGCTTGTTAGTGTGTGTTGAATGTTGAGTCGCTAAACCCATACCTCTTTTTCATATGAACTACCAAATCAGGTTTGTTGAATTCTATACTTTCACACTTAAATTTTTTTTTCACTAAAAAAAAGGAGGCTATATATATATATTTTTTAAGTTTATAACCTAATTTGAAAAGAAAGGGTCTCAGTCATGCTATATGAAGAAAAATTGACAGAAAATTGGACTCACCACCACATTTCCTTTATAGCCTGCCAGCCAGCAGTCACTCACACCACAGGAACCTAAGCACTGTTGAGGCCAGGAATCTTATTTTTAAATTTTTTTTCCCACGTTTTTATTTATTTTTGGGACAGAGAGAGACAGAGCATGAACGGGGGAGGGGCAGAGAGAGAGGGAGACACAGAATCGGAAACAGGCTCCAGGCTCCGAGCCATCAGCCCAGAGCCTGACGCGGGGCTCGAACTCACGGACCGCGAGATCGTGACCTGGCTGAAGTCGGACGCTTAACCGACTGCGCCACCCAGGCGCCCCAGGAATCTTATTTTTAGTTATTTATTTGTTTGTTTACTTAAAATTTTTTTTAATGTTCATTTGTTTTTGAGAGAGAGACAGAGTGTGAGCTGGGGAGGGACAGAGAGAGAGGGAGACACAGAATCTGAAGCAGGTTCCAGGCTCTGAGCTGTCAGCACAGAGCCTGATATCGGCCTTGAACCCAGGAACTGTGAGATCATGACCTGAGCCAAAGTTGGACACTCAACCGACGGAGCCACCCAGGCACCCCTATTTTTATTTATTTTTTTATTTGAGAGAGAGAGAGAGAGAAAGAGAGAATGAAAGAATCCCAAGCAGGCCCCACTCTCAGCACAGAGCCTGATTGATGTGGGGCTCGATCTCATGAACTGTGAGATCACGATCTAAGCTGAAACCAAGAGTCGGTTCTTAACCAACTGAGCCACCCAGGCGCCCCCAGAATTGTTATTTTGATTAGTGCTCTATCCATTAGGCCTCGAAAAGTGTCTGTGCATTAGCTAGACCTTGATAGATATATGAGTTGAATGAATAAATAAGAACTATTTATTCTGGAATAAATAGAAGAATGAATGGGGCAGTAGTGGGATGGAGGGCAGGAGATGTTATGGAATGTCTTAGTTTGAAGGACTCGCATGTAGAACAGTCATTCTGCTTATTTAGTCGTTATTGCTCCGAGATTCTGTGCTCAGTGGATGGAATGCATTGCCATCCTTTGTTTGCAGCCAGATTCTGGCACACGGGTAAGTTAGCTTTTCATCTTAGACTTGCCAGATGATGATCTTAACCCTACTAGTAAAGTGATCATTTAACAGCATACCCCTGGGTAGCCATTTGCCACTGTCTCTCACTCTGCATTCTCCTCTAGTAATTCCTGGTGTTTTCAGTTTTCTGTTTGGGCAAATTCGAAAGGCAATAAGTAGGTAGATCAGTTGTGTGACTCACTTATTTGTCTTTTCTGTAGGAAAGCACACAGTGAAAGGTGGCCTGCATATTTTCTCGGAATTATTTTTTAATTTTTTTAATGTTTATTTTTGAGAGAGAGACAGAGACAGAGACAGAGAGAGATGGAGACACAGAATCCTTAGCCGGCTTCAGGCTCTGAGCTGTTAGCACAGAGCCCAATATGGGGCTTGAACTCACAAACCACAAGATCATGACCTGAGCTGAAGTCAGACGCTTAACCAACTAAGCCACCCAGGAGCCCCTGAATTTTGTTTTTGAGTTATCTTTTTGATTGTAGAATTATCTTTGTTTGATTTAGATATTTACTGGAAGTTATATGCAAAGTGGGACAAGGAAAATATAGTTTTATTAGTACTAATCTCAATTAGTGCCTTGAGGCTGCTTGTAATAAATATCTCTTCTCTTTCTCTTAGGGCTGCTGCTCAGAGTAAATTAGGTCACTACACAGATGCAATAAAGGATTGTGAGAAGGCAATAGCAATCGATTCAAAGTACAGCAAGGCCTATGGGAGAATGGGGTAAGTTCTGGCAAGATGTTCAAAGTAGTACCAAAGAGTATCAAATATGCTGTTCTTAATGGCTTGGTTTTCAATTTCCTGCTTAAATATTGCATTCTCTATTAGGAGGATAAATATAACATTGAGAGAGGAAATGACTGCAATTTCTATGACTTGGGATAGAGATGATCAGTTGTATGATGAATGGTTGGTTGTTGGAGAAAATAATACAACCTTACTCAGTAGACTCACTTCCTGTTCAAGGCCACAAATCTCAAATGAGCGCTCAATATCTTGGCAGACAATGCTACTATACTTGCTTCTAAATTCACCTTACTACGCTGAGTGGCTGCTTCTCACTTTTTCTCTCTTCAAATTTCTACCATACCCTCTATGGCAGCTCTCAGCTGATGGTATTGCCTTGCACTTAACTAAGAAAATAGATCCATGTAGAAGAAAAATAACTCTTCCTACTTCTGAATCAACCAATCTACTTGCATTTATATCCTCACAGACTGCCTTTTATTCCTTTTCAAATGGGAGGGTTCTTATCTAAGACTTCATTCATGCCTTAGGTCTCATCCTTTTGTACCTTCTTCAGGACTTTACTCTTGGAGTCCTCTCCTTTATCTTCTGCAACACAAGGTTGTCTCTAACAGCGGCAGTGACTGCGCCTGGAAAGGTCCTAGAAAATCACCCACTGGAACCAAGATTTTACTCCGCGAGGCCATTTCCCAGCTCCTCTTTTTCTGCATTGTTCCCATGGCTGGCTGGGTTTGCTCTCTCATCTCCCTCATGTCTCATTTGCTCTCCACTCACTCCAATAAGGCCTTTGTCTCTATCACTGTGCTGACAGCCCTGTTCAAGGTCACCAGTTGTCTATATTTTGCCAAGGCCAGTGTTCGTGTCTGTATCCTTACCCTGCTCCATGTTTTAGTATTTGGCACAAGTAACTTTTTTTGTAAGATTATTGATTTAAGTAATCTCTCCAACCAGTATGGGGGCTTTGAACTCACGAGCCCAAGATCAAGAGTCGCATGCTTTTCTGACTGAACCAGCCAGGTGCCCCAGCATGATTAACTCATTTTTGAAATACTTCATTCTCTCTGCTTCTGTGTCATCGTACTTCCTAGTTTTCCTTCTCCTTCACTGGATGCTCTTTCCTCGTCTCTCTTACTGTTTCTTCCTTCTCTACTGCCTCTAGATAATGGCGTACTTCAGGGCTTTCTCTCCTGCTGCTGTCGTTTGTCTGTTCTCTCTTCTGATTGTGTCCTGTCCCATGCTTTTATTTTTTATTTTTTATTTTTAAAATTTTTTTTTTTCAACGTTTATTTATTTTTGGGACAGAGAGAGACAGAGCATGAACGGGGGAGGGGCAGAGAGAGAGGGAGACACAGAATCGGAAACAGGCTCCAGGCTCCGAGCCATCAGCCCAGAGCCCGACGCGGGGCTCGAACCCACGGACCGCGAGATCGTGACCTGGCTGAAGTCGGACGCTTAACCGACTGCGCCACCCAGGCGCCCCCTGTCCCATGCTTTTAAATTCCATTTTAAGTCTGTACTCATTATTCATGGAGTCTGTATTCATGAATTTGCCTACATGCTGCAATTTGTTTGCAACCCCCAAATCAATACTCACTGTGCTTTGGTGGTCATTCACAGAAGGGTGAAAAATTTGAGTCACTTGTCTATCATGCCAGTTCTCCGCAGAGGTCTGATAAAGCTCTGCCTTTTTGTTTTAGCTCTTAGGCTGTAAACAAGTGTCCTTTTCACAGTTTTTTTAGTGCTGTATTTTTTTTTTTTTTTTGCTTTTTTTATGCCTTTTGTGGTTGATTTCCTGTTTACACTGGCCCCCAAATGTAGGCTGAAGTGTTGTCTAGTGTTCCTGAGCACAAGAAGGCTAGAATGCACCTTATGAAGAAAATACATGTGTTAGATAATTCTTGATCAGAAATGAGTTAGTGCTGTTGGCTGTTAGTTCATTGCTAATGAATCAGTAATATATATTAAATAAGGTTTCTTTAAACAGAAACACATATAAAATAAGATTATATTTTGACCTATTGATGAAAATGTTGTAACCAAAAGCTCACAGGATCCCAACCCTGTATTTCCTCTGGGAGGAGTTGTTCATTATTTACTAAGTTAGTGTTTGTGGTGACTTTATAGAATTTAACTACTGTTATTAATGAGACTCAGCTTTGTTTGATGGAGCTCTTAAGTTAAATGCCTGAATTCCATACTCATATATTCAATTACTTTTCATCTCCACCTAGATATTAATAGGCATTTAAAGCTTAACATGTCCCCAAAAGAACTTTTGTTCCCTTCTTAAATCTTCCCCATCTCAGTAAATGGTGTCATCATTCACCTATACCCAGTGCTCAGGTCAAAAGCCTAGGAGTCTCCTTCATTCTTATTACACCTGACACAACTAATTCTATTAGCAAGTCCTGTCAATTCTGGTTTCCATATTCAGTACTATGTATCTTGAATGCTGTCTTGTTTATAGCCCTAGTCAAATTATCATCTCGTAAATAGGCTATTGCAGTAGCTTCATAACTGGTCCCCTTGCTACCCTTCCACCCCCACCCATGTCAGTCTTCTGCAGAGAAGCCAGAGTGAACATTTTAAAACATAGATCAGATCTGTCATTCCGTTGCAACCAGAATAAAATCCGGACTCCAAACCACAGTCATATATGATCTGGCACCTAATTATTCCCTGATGTCATCTCTTTCCACACTTTATTTTCTGTGCTTCCTCCTCATCAGCTTTTGTCCCGTTCCTTAAGCCTTCTCAGGGCCATTGTGTTTGCTGTGTCTTCTCTTTAGATGCCCCTCCTCTGATTTTCATGTGGCTGCCTTCTTCTCATCACTCAGGTCTTTTTAGTGTGCCTGTCTTTGAGGAGCTCCCCTATTCATTCTCCTTAATATTACTATTTTTTTGTTTGTTTATTGCTTATTTTCCCAGGGAGGATGAAATTTTCTTAAACTCAAGGACTTTTCCTTTCTCATTGTGAACTATAAAGTAGTCTCTGGTATGCAGTAGGATTTCAATAAATACTTATTGACTGTTGATTAGTTGAGGACTCTGATGACGTATCTTTCATGGTTGACAAGTAGATAACAAATTAGGTTCTGAGAACTTTTCTTTGGTTAGGCCCTGTATTCTGTCTAGATCAGAAGTCTGGGAGGAAAGTTGTCCAAGAAAGAATTGGGGTAATTTATTAAAAATGAACATAGAACAAATAAAAAACCTCAGTACTTTCTCTCCATATACACCATTATTATGTAGTTCTGAAGTAATTGTCTGATAAATAAATTCTACTAACTAGGTAGCGAAAATATAAAAATTTAGTAACTGACTCTTTGATCTGTGCCTGGGATATGTGTTGAGTTGTAAAGGGTGCTAATTTTATTTACTTGACAATAAACATGTCTTGTTCAGGAGAAGCTTGCTGATACCTCATAACCCAATTTTATTTTTTATTTTTATTTCTATTTATTTTTTTAATTAAAAAAAGTTTATTTTAATGTTTATTTATTTTTGAGTGAGCATGAGTAGGGAAGGGGCAGAGAGAGAGGAAGACACAGAATCTGAAGCAGGATCCAGGCTCTGAGCTGTCCGCACAGAGCCCGCTGTGGGCTCGAACTCAGGAACTGCGAGATCACAACCTGAGCCGAAGTTGAACGTTTAACCGACTGAGCCACCCAGGAGCCCCTATTTTTACTTTTTTAATGGCAAATTGATATTTATTGTGGCTCAGGGTCCCTGCTAGGAAGAAGGAAGAAAGTGGGACATTAGGAAGCACAAATCTAGTTCAGAGTTCTTGAAATGGTTTTAGCTTCATGGAGTTAAAATGGCCACAGGACTGTTAGCTCTCTTCTTTGTGGAGCTTTATCATTCATAAGGCAAATTACTTCACATATTAGGCTTAAAATTGGAAGGGTAGGTAAGAGTCATTTCTAAGCATTAAATTCATGATTCATAGGACAGCCACGTTTGTCAGCAAGCAGAATAGATAAAGTCCAGACTTATGAATCTTGGAATTAGAAGGAATTTTAGTGATACTTCTGTGAATCATAGTACAGTGAATAAATTAAATGTGTAGTCTGGATTCACATTGAATACTGAGACAGATGTTACTTTGTGATGTTCTTTAATCATACCTTATGTTGTATTCTTTTCAGACTGGCCCTCACTGCCATAAATAAATTCGAAGAAGCAGTTACAAGTTATCAAAAGGCATTAGATCTTGACCCTGAAAATGATTCTTACAAGTCAAATCTGAAAATAGCAGAACAGAAGTTAAGAGAGGTATCTAGTCCTGTAAGTTATTAATGCCAAATGAGGGAAATATTTTCTCTCATTCACAATTTATTAGAATCAAATTTTAGTGGTTAGAATAATTCTCAGATATAATTGTTTTACAGACAGGAACTGGATTGAGCTTTGACATGGCTAGCTTAATAAATAATCCAGCCTTCATTAGTATGGTGAGTATATTTCCTTTTCTGCTGTGCTGGCTGTTTTCCATAGAGTTATATGGTTCCCAAACTTGAAGAAACAAATAGGGGAGCTTTTGTAGAGGTGGTGGGGGTAACAGCAGTAGAATGGTCATATAATGCTCTGGCTCAGGTATGGATCTCTTTATGAGAAAGCCATGGATGGACTTTAGGGAGCCCATGGATTCCCTGAAATTGTATATAAAAATTTGTATACATGTACGTATATGCATTTTTCTAGAGAGAACTGTTTTTTTTTCATCTGATTGGTGAAGGGGTCTGCAAATCTACAAAAGATTAAAAACAACTCTTTTACATGAAAGTGGCCTTAGGAAGATCCCTAATAATGGAGGTCTGATCTAAGGAGTTTGGCTGTGGTGGTTCCCTAAGCTCTCCTCTCAACATGGCCTGCTTCCTTCCTTTCATAAGAGTTTATTTGAACTTTTAGTATAATTCTCCTTTGTATGTACTTCATCCTACAAAACAACAAAATCACTCATGGATCTTTTTGAAAACATATATGTTCGGGTCCAAAATGTGGAAACTCTGATTTCATGGGTCAGGGATATTACCTGGGTAATCTGTAATATTTCTGGCTGAGAATCATTCATTCCACCACATGCCATGCCCTTGGAAGGGCGCGGTACTACTTGTATTCGCCTTTGGTTCTTTCAAAAAATGTTGTCATGCATCCACAAAAATCTTCATTTGAATTGAAAGGCATGGAGGGCTCATTCCCAGTGAGTTAAAGAAATCTTTTGAACATTTAGTAGGTTTGTAGCAATTGGCAGTTGAAATCTTTGTAGACAGTAGTTAATTACGACTTGCAAATAATTCAGGAACTCTCTTCAAGTCTCAGGATTGAGCCCATCAAATTTAAGTTGGTCTTCCGGTTTACATGTCAACAATTATATGTCTCTTTGTAGGTTTTGTGACATTTTTAAGCATTGTTACTCATTTGCGGGTGTCGGGCTATGCTCTTGTAGCAGGATGTGAAAATGGACTTCTTATACTTTCAGATTTGGTTTAGCCCTCGAGACGCTGTGCACCAAAGTGAAGTGTTGCAAAAGGTGCGGGTAAAAAACATACTGTGTGACTTGTATAAAGAGTCAGGTTGATAGAGAGTCAGGCTTTTTGGAGAAAGCTATTGAAGTTACAAAGCCCTTTTTCATGTATGAGGGAAGTAAAGGGCTGCCTTCCTCTCTAGCCCACAGAGAAAAGGCTTTTCTGGCCTTCTTAGAGAGCTTTCTAAATGGCCCTCAGTTTGGAAGACAGTAGAGTGGGGTCTGACATGCCAGCTAAAGAAGGCTGTATGGTTTAGGAAGTAACTGTACTGAAGCCAGTGGAGGGGAGATGTGTTTCCTGTGGACCAAGGTGAGCACATGTGCTCATAAGATAGTCCTGTGTGAATCTGCCCAGAAAGGTTTCCAATACAGAGCCTCAGGACTAGAGGGCTGTGAAGAACCTGGGACTACAGTGTTCTTCATACTGTCCTTCCAGAAAATTAATTACCTTTTTCAGAGAATGGATGAGAAATGCCCAGATTGGTGGGGGTGGGGGAAGTTTCTGCAGGACCTCAAAAGTGCCGCTATAGAGAACCAGAGTAGTTTTATTTTTAAAATTTTTTTTTTCAACGTTTATTTATTTATGGGACAGAGAGAGACAGAGCATGAAGGGGGGAGGGGCAGAGAGAGAGGGAGTCACAGAATCGGAAGCAGGCTCCAGGCTCTGAGCCATCAGCCCAGAGCCTGACGCGGGGCTCGAACTCACGGACCGCGAGATCGTGACCTGGCTGAAGTCGGACGCTTAACCGACTGCGCCACCCAGGCGCCCCAACCAGAGTAGTTTTAAACAACTTGCACACCCACTGAGCACAGGTGCAGAACCACTGAACTAGTACCAGTCATCAAAGAATCTGCCTGCACCTGTGACTCTCTTCCTTCCCACAGAGCCAGGACTCTTGCCTAACAAGCTGGGAGAAGAGGCATAGAGGCACTGTGGTGAAAAAAGAGCAGGCAACTGGCCCACCTCTAGTAGGCCCACGTTTGGGAGGTGAAACGTTTTGCCTGTAAATGAATTTTATGTATTTGGTTATTACCGTGAGCAAGAAGTGAATTCCGGAGGTTGTTTTCTACCTTAGAGTGACTAGAGGACTGCATACTTCAAAGTGGCCAGAAAAGCTCTAGCATCTCCTCTGTATCTCTTCTACATCCCAGAAACTAGAAGAGGGTGAACTGCTTTTGCAGAATCAGATAAAAAGGTCTGTGAAAGGAGCACCTGGGTGTCTCGTTCAGTTAAGCATTCGACTCTTGATTTCAGCTCAGGTCATGATCTCACGGTTTTTGAGTTAGAACCCCACATCAGGCTTTGTGCTAACAGCACAAAGCCTGCTTGGGATTCTCTCTCTCTGTCTCTCTGTGCCCTTCTCCCACTCATGCTCTTTCTTGCTCTCTATCAAAATAAACTAAAAAAAAAAAAAAAAAAAAAAAGATTGTGAAATGAAATGCTTTATATTTATAGCTTATAAATCCTGGTTTTCCTGCGTAATGTCCATAGCACTCATGCGTTGGTACCAGAAGCACCAATCCTGAAACTTGAGGAGAGTTATTGAATTGTTGGCAAGTCTAACAGTTCTCTTTATGGTAATGAGAGCACGTGATGGCTTCTCCCAACACCTTGTTTAGGGTCAGTGAATGAAAAATTACTGTCTACAAAGATTTAGACTCCATTTAAATTTTACATGAACATTGTTGATGGAACAAATTTGAGGCAAAAAAAATTGTTATGCTTTCAAAACGAAAAGTTATACAAGTGAATGCATGAATGAATAGAATTCTCCTCCTACTGTAAGCACAGGAACGATTAATACTGCTGAGCCCCATGGAGCAAGGTCACATCTCCTAGAGTCCTCTTTTGAAAGAGACCCTCAAGGGTAAAAGATTCTTTAGCCATACTTTTAAAGTTTTTATTTTTCCTGTTGGCTTTATTGATCTGGTCAGTAGTAGGAAGTAAACTGGTTAGTTTATTATAGTGTGTGTAACCTCTTTATCCTTGCAATATACTTTCATTGCCATTTTTTCTAGTACTTCTCTATTTTGTACATTCCCACTTCGTTGAGTATGCTAAAACTCTAGAAAATGTTACTATATACTGGTTTTGCTTTCATTCTTTTTTTTCCAAGTCTTTGTTAAAGACCCATAAATATTAACTGCCTTTAATGGGAAATGCCGCTTTTCAATTCCAGGCAGCAAGTTTAATGCAGAATCCTCAAGTTCAGCAGCTGTAAGTATATTTTCCCTTTCCACCTACCTGCCAGGTTCCTAATTTGAGCACATCACCGCCAAAATGATAAGTGATAAATGATAGATAAATGCCAATTAGAACTGATAGCCATGCACATTTGACCTATCTTCCTACACAGTGCGGGTATATTTAGCTGATTTCTCCTTAGTCTGCTTGTTAAGAATATATACCAATCCTAGTGATCTATCTTTTGCCTATTCTAGAATGTCAGGAATGATGACAAATGCCATTGGGGGACCTGCTGCTGGAGTTGGAGGCCTAACTGACCTGTCTAGCCTCATCCAAGCGTAAGTGTTACTTAAATACAAATAGTAAAAAAGTTTATGTTTTACAGCTTGCCTCTAAAGTGAGAGGACCAGGGTTTCCTTTTTAAAATTTTCTTTCACTGTTCATATCAGTAGCCTCAATAGTTATGCAATCTAGAGAAGTTTATAAATCGGAATTTTCAGACTGAAGGGCAGAAATCAAGAAGATCTGGATCCATGAAAAAGTTTTCTGGCAGATTTGAATAGGTACTCAAGGATGTAGATGAAATTCAAATATCTACTTAAAGAATGTATTAACTTATTAATTTAGGTGTATCTAAAAATCACATATTACATATATTAATGTTCCAACAATGTAGGAAACCATTTCATTTGAACTTTTCAGTGCATATGTCATCACTAAAGATACTTTTTGCATCTTCTCGTTACTTGAGCACACTACCTTCACTTCCACCCAGGTTACTTTTAGTGTTTATTTATGTATTTTGAGATAGAGCAAGCATGTGAGTGGGGGAGGGACAGAGAGAGAGACAATCTCAAGCAGGCTCTGTCAGCACAGAGCTCAATTGAGGCTCGATCTCCCAAACCGTGAATTCATGGACTGAGCTGAAATCAAGAGTTGGATGCTTAAGCGACCGAGCCACCCAGGTGCCCCAAGATACTCTACTCTTTGAATTGATTTTCAATCCGTGTGTCATGTTGTCACTGGAAATGTTATATGAAGACATAAATAGCATTTCCTTTTTTTTTCAATATATGATATTTATTGTCAAATTGGTTTTCATACAACACCCAGTGCTCATCCCAAAAGGTGCCCTCCTCAATACCCATCACCCACCCACCCCTCCCTCCCACCTCCCATCAACCCTCAGAGCATTTCCTTTTTTGATCACAACCATGTTACCCCTTAGAATATTGCATTTCTACAGTGATCTTTAAGTGGCATGATTATAGTGATATGTAACACTTGTAATTGAGGGTTACACACTCAGGAATTTGTATTACATTTCTTTGCCTTTGTAAAAATCAGTTCTCTTAGGTGACATACAGGTGACCAGAATGGGTATGACACCTATCATACCTGATGACAAGAGAAATTATATTTGAGCACATACAATGAAAGCATGTACTTTTCAGCCCTTAGCTTATTTGTTGTGTGGATTATATGCATTTCAGGGAGTCACTTTTTAGCATGGGTGTTTTGTTCCTTATAAAGAACACTGTGCTGTAATAATGCTATATGGAGGCATTGGTAAACTTGAAGATACTAAAGCCATGATTCTAAAAGTTGTTTTTATAGAAAAGGTTCCCTCTGAGTAATACCCACATCCTCTGCAGTTCTTTTTGCATGGGTATTATGTGACTGGAAATTCCTAATTCATACCACTTTGCCTCTTTACTACAGGGGACAGCAGTTTGCTCAGCAGATACAGCAACAGAATCCTGAACTTATAGAGCAACTTAGAAATCACATCCGGAGCAGATCATTCAGCAGCAGTACTGAAGAACATTCCTGACTTGACCAGGGACCCTAGCCCAGAGCACAAATGATTATGGCTCTTAAATGTTTGCTGTAGATAGTGGCCAAAACAAAGACACCTAAAGAATCAATCTGTCTAGATGATAGGTTTATCATAAACAGACTTGAACATGACTCCTTTGTAAACAAATGATCATTAGCCCTGTTGAGTGCCAGTATAGTACTGAACAGGGTTCCATTTTCAAATCAAATCATCATCATCATATTTGTATATTAGACCTAATAGCAGAGTATATTTATTGAACAGTAGCGCTGTGTATTGGCAAGTTCTCTAGCTCCAAATTCCCTTAAGCAGACTTTTTTGAAAGATGGGGATGACCAAGAGGAAAGGTTTCTCATGCTGATTCAGGAGAAATATACAGCCATGGAACAGCATGTTTGGAGAGAAGAAATTTGTTGCCTAGTTTTAGCTCTGATAGTGCTATCAGTACTGAATATCTATCACAGGGGCCAGTACTGTCCTTAATGCTGCTTGCTCTGATGCGGAACAAGGAATACTAAGAGCTGGTGAGAAGCAGCATTTGGTGCAAGGGCTGTTTTGAAATGAAAAATAGATGCTGTGAATGTACAGAAGGTGAAAGTAGGATGTTCAGGTTGTTTGCATAGTTCTTAACCAATCTTGCCTGCAGTTTGATCTTGATAACGTTAGCATGGCCAATTACTCTAAGTACATAATCAAATACATTTAGAAATCCTTAATGGTACTGGTTAGGTCCATTGTATAACTATTCAATTTAACTAGCACAATTTCCCCAATGGTGACCTTACCATGGAAACTCTTAAATATATTTACATTTAAATAAGCCAGTGGGTTGATTCTCAAGTTAAGGATTTTCTAAGTGGCATTTAATTATGTGCCTATAAATACTGATTTTTTAAAACTAATTATTTGATGGCTTATAAAAAGCTTCTATCACTAACATTGCTTGTTCATAAAAACCTTTGCTATAATTTGGCTTGGCATGTTGCTTTTATGCTTCATCTTAATTTGATGCAATGTAAACATAACAGGGGACTTAAAATATTTTATGGACATCAGATCATAGTAGTTAATGAAGAGATATGGCATTAAGTATTAATGGCATGACTCTACAGTGATGAGAGACCATTTTAACTAGAATTTTTGTTAATTATGAAATTGGTAAAGTTGGGTGAACCCATAATCATTTCACAAGTGTTGTGAGAGAAAACTGAAAAATTAATATAAAATTAACTCAGTAATACTCATGATGATGAAGGCCTTACTATAACTGTTCTCCTCAAAAGACTAATAATGTGGTATCTACAAGGTTAAAAATCAACTCTTCCTTTCTTCCTCTTGTGAGATTAGAACAGTGGTTCTGTAATTTCACTGTAAGAATTAAAAATGCAGATCCAGAGCCACACTTTCCATTTTTATTTAATAGGTCCTATAGTAACGCCTAGGAATCACCATTTTAAACAGCATCCTACACGGTTCTGATGTAGGTCTAAGGACTCTAATTTAGAGTAACGGTAAGTTAGAGATTTCTCCTCAGACCAGCAAATACCTCACTCCCTGTGCTCAGCTTACAGGGAAAACCCATAGGAATCTACAGTCTGGCCAGAAAAGAGCAGGACTTAAATTTTAGGCCCTCTGAATTCAATATCCTGTATTCCATTTAAACCAACTTTATTGTTCATGAGGTTAAATTCAACTCCTAGTGTTCAAGCATAATACAGAATGAAGTACTAACTATTCACATGAAAGGACTGTGCTGAAAACAAAAGTGAAACCTGATCCACAATTAAAAATTATTTACTCTTGGGGTACTTGGCTGGCTGAGTCCCTACAGCATGTGACTCTTGATCTCAGGATCATGAGTTCAAGCCCCACGTTGGGTATAGAGCTTACTTAATTAAAAATAGCTACTCTTATCCAGTGGTAAGAGAAAGTTTCTAGCAAAACTATCTTGAGTATATTAAAATGCTTTTAGATCAGTAAAACTGGTAAGCCTTTAGTTGACTATGAAAATCGAGAAAATGCAAATCAACAGTACCAAAAGTGAAAGAGGGAATATCACTGCAGCCCTCCAGACTTTAAAGGGTAATCAGAAAATACAGTGACCAACTCTAGGCCTATATATTGGACAACTTACATTAAACACACAAATTCCCTGTAAGATAAAAGCTACCAAAGCTCAGTAAGGAAATAGATAAATCCCCCAGCAGAGCAAGCTATAGGCCCAGATGATTCCAATGGTAAATTTTGCCAAACACTTAATGGAAGCAATACTATCAATTCTACACTATCAGAAAACAGAAAAAGAGAAAACACTTCTGACTCATTTTATTTAGCTATTACTATTACTCTGATACCAAAATCAGACCAAGGCATTATAAGGAAAACCATTTTAAAACAATGTCTTGATTTGCTAATATCTTTAGCTGGGACAGCCATTCTTTTACATGAAGAGCTGGTGTATTTCTTCCATTTCAACTTTCTGATCTGTTTCTTGGCTGTTATACCACCTATAACAAATTCACTGTAAGTATCTGTCCACTTACCTGGATTTTTGCTCTCTAGATACCTTCATCACTTTGGAATCATTGCATTGCAAATTATTTCAAGAAAGTTTTGTGTCATTGGACTGTGCTAAGAAATTATAAGGAATGCCCCAAATACTATACTGGCTGGTGTGGAACAAGAAAACATTGAATCTTTATATACATTCCCCTTAGGAATGACTGGCTTCCATTAACCACATTTCATTGTTGTAGCTATAGCAGTTATGATGCTATATAAAACCTAAAAGGTCCTTTTTATGCAAATGACATTTTCATTTAATATACCAAATTGTTTACCTAATTTTTATAATATGATTTAAACAGATCCCTTCCAAGATGACATTATCTAACCTTTACTTAAGGAATGGACGATGTTTATCATAAAAAGAGAGTTTATAATTAGATCAAATTATATAGCAGATTCCAAAAGACCATTATATGTTACTTTTAAAATCTGGAACAATGAAACACAAGGTTCAGTCATGAGAGGATACTTGAAAAGCAATCAAAATACACAGTGACTATCAAGACTTATCATTTAATCAGTCTTACTCATTCTGGAAGACAGAGTTCAACTTTACACTGCTTTTACTTTATTTTGCACAGATTTCATTATTAGTGCAACTTAAGGGGCAAATCTCATTCTGAATATAGCTTTCACTTTGGACCAAATAATTTGTCATGGCAATAAATAATTATGCATTTAAGAAAAACAAATTTTTGTATTTGACTTAATACCTCTAACAGTTAAGCGATTCTATATACATTCTTGAATTTCAACTTACCAAAATAAGTTTTTATTTAACAGCATAAGCTTTTGTTGTCCTTACAAAATATTGAAACTTACTATATTCATGTTGCAAAGTTGTTTACAATCTTTTTTTAAAAAATGTTTTTATTTATTTTTGAGAGATAGAGCAAAAGCGGGAGAGGGGCAGACAGAGAAGAAGACACAGAATCCAAAGCAGGCTCCAGGCTCTGAGCTGTCAGCACAGAGCCGCACATGGGACTTGAACTCACAGACCTCGAGATCATGATCTGAGCTGAAGTTGGACACTTAATCGACTGGGCCGCTCAGGAGCCCCTCAAAGTTGTTTACAATATTAACTTTCTCACTGTTTTGTTCCTGACATAAGTAAATCAGTGTGATTACATCTACAGATAGTTTTGTAGTAGTAATGCATGACTTAGAGTTCAAAATCAAATATCAGAAGGTAGAAATCCTTTCAATATGCCTTATGAAAATAAGTCACTTGTTTTTCAATATGAAAAAAAAACCCAGGACTTTCTGGCTTTGAGTTAGAAAATTATCAGGTTTCTTAGTTAAAAGTTAATAGAGTAATCAACAATCCAAGAAATTAAGCCAATTCTGATCTGCTGTTAGTAACTGAAATTTAGATCTGTTTATATGTACATACAAACAGATACATACAAATATAGTAACTTTGAAAACACTAGGAGAACTCATACTGTGTTTGCAATATAAGGTTACACAGGGACTACTCTAGTTGTTTTATTTACTTATTATTTTTACTATAGTTTTCAACTTTTTCTGCTGACTGAGGAGTTAGGGGAAAAAGGGACTAATTGAAAAGTTTTAAATAGAGTATTATAATAATCTAAAGTTTTAAGAAACAGTTCTATATTCTAAGTCAAGGTCAGCAAACTATGGCCTGCGGGCCAAATCTGGCCAGTTGCCTGTTTTTGTAAATACTGCTGTGCTCTTTTTGCCTACTGGCTGCTCTCCTACTATAACAGCAGAGCTAAGAATTTTCAACAGAAACCACATTCCCTGCAAAGACAAATATTTAGTATCTGTCCCTTTACATAAAATGTTTGCTAACCCCTGTTCCAGATACTTGCTAGGGGTAAATGGCCTCAAATACAGAGCTTTTGGAGAACAAAGTCCAGTGGTGAGAAATGAAATCCAATAGGAGATGTATAGAAAATGTACAAATATTCTTTTAGAATATAACTCATAAGATAAAATCAGTAGATGGCTGTTTTCAAAACAAATATTTAGTATTTTAACTTTTGCAGGAAAGAAATTTAAATAATAGATACTTATTTTTGTTGTAGACTCGATCATTTCACAAAGGTGACAGAGATACAGAAAGTTCTGTTAAACTCAATGAAAAGCAGAACACTGGAAATTTTCTTCAGCTCTCCACTTTGATGGCCGAAGATACCACACAGACCTGTGCGATGTCATCATATTCATATGTTCTCTTTAAGAACGTGTCAGTTAGTCTTAAGCCGGAGACACTCTATTGAGAGAAAGATACCGGTGTAAAGTTTCATTCATTGGTAATTTATCAGAGGAAAAAAATGGAAATAGTAAATGACCACTGGTTAACAGTCCCCAAATACTGAAAAGATAGCGCACCTGCAGTCCCTGTACTGAAGACAGGAGAGTAAGGGCAAGGCAGAGAGAGGAACTTGGATGTAGCTTTCCAAGCTGTCTTCCTGAAATGCCACACCAGTGGATAGAATTGGTATTGCACATTTCCAAAACCAGATCCATAGTCCTTTCACTGCTGGAGGAATCAGAAAGACAGGAATAAATCTTGTTCCTTTCACAAAGCGGTTCTGTGATATTTCTTCCACTAGTGCCAATGAATTTGTTTTCGGGATGTCCAGAAGAATAAAAGTGGAATCAGAAATAAAAAGCTATAATGTCGTTTTTATTTCACTTGAGACAATCAGGAAAATGAAAGATATGGCGTCTTCTAGGGTTTAAAGCACTGAGACTGATCTGCCTGTCTGGATATAAGCCTTCTGGTTCTATTATTGAATCCTGGCTCCCTGGTGCTGATCTGTTGGCAGCTTTGCCATTTCTCTGGGAAACTTCCAGACATCTGTGTCTCACCTTGTTGCTATGCTTCCATCCTATTTCTGTTAAGTATTCTACAGGAAAGACAAAGATAAACTGAGCCTTTTGCTATTTAATCTATGTTCCTTTACCCTGCAGATAAAATGACAGACAAGATTTCTAAGTAAATACTATCCACGTTTGTTCAGTGTTCATGTGAAAAGACTGCTTCTGCTTATAACTGATAGCACCAGTTTAGCTTAAACATGTAAAGTTAAAAATAACTTTCAATGAAGGTATACACTTTTTTTTTTTTTTTAAATTACCAAAGGCTCATAGTAAAAAATAGTCCTCTGGCTCTACCACCATTTCTGACCACACTCAACTGTTTGACCTCTTTTTATCCTCTCATAGTTGGCTCCATATTTTAAATATTTATTTAAATTGCAATTTGTACATTCTTTCACATACTCATTTAATGATATTTAGCTTTATATGTATCTATCTCTGCAACAAACATTTGAAGTATCCATTTTGTGCCATCGACCAGGTTAGATGCACTACATGAATTTTGTCAGTACATTTCACAAAAAGCCAGTTACTGTATATTGTGTGTATGTGTCTGTGTAGGTGGGTGGCAGTGGTGGGGGTCCTATTTTTATAGATAAGGAAACTGAAGATCTAAGAAACAGGTGGTTTTTAGAAAACTTCAATCACCTAACATGAATTTTATTTTTTACAGTGGTTTGTCATTTGGTCATTGATTTGCTATACCTCAAAAAATTTAAACAAAAAATCCAAAAGCACACTTATACACAAAGGGTTTTCAACCCATGTGAGTTGCTGTTTACTGAACTCCAATGACATGGCAGGCAGTGCATTTACAATGCTAGGGAAGACATGGTCCCTTCTGTTGAATAATGCACAATTTAGTAAAGAGAAACTAAAAACCACAGCAATACATGAGTGTCACTAAAAAACTATATTAAAATTTGCTGTGACAGAAAGGAATGATTAACTGTGTGGGAAGGTCACTAGCTTCAGAGGGAGGGAGTATTTTTATAATTGTCATGGATGGGTATTTCCTATATCAAAGTTGGAATGGATATGGAATTTTAAAAGATTATACATTCAGACTATGTGCATTGGGATTCATCACTGCAATAGTATCAAAGTGCCACAACGAATAATACATCCCAAGTAGTAATAGAGGTTGTACCAACAGTGATAGGACTGGACTTTAATCCTCAGTTTTGTTGGCTTCAAAGCCCTGTGCTCTTTGCATCCCAATAGCTAGATTATACTCTATTATAAGGCTCTATTTTCCAATCTATAATTAAGTGACCCCTTGTATTAAATTTGTGACAAATTACTTTCTTAATACTAAAGATAAAATTCAGGTATAAGTATGCCTCAGAAAAATCTATCTTACAATGTTAAATCTGTAATGTATCATTCCATAAGAATGTACTAGTTTATGTTTTAATAATCTGAAGTGTGAGGAAGTGCAAAAAATGAAAACAGCATGGGCTCTCAAGTCAAATACACCTGGTTTCAAATTCTGGCCCCATCTCTTCTAGCTCTCTCAGCTTGACTAAGTTACTTAACCTCTGAATTGGCTTTGTATTGCATAAAATGTGATTAATTCATATCTACCTCGTAGGGTACAATGCATGAAGGAAATAAAATACAGAAAATGCCTAATAAAGTAAGACCTCAAAATATGTAATATATACAGTTAGCAGATGAAGAACTTTACAGTATTCAACATCAACCTCAGAGAAGGCTGTTTGTCAAGGAGAAACTTGAGAGCATAGTCAAAAGATTTTAATTTTCTTTGATGCAGGCGAGGGGGAAAGGACACCCATCCAGAAACACTGCCATTACCTGCAGTTTGTTATTTTACAGGTAATATGAAAAGGTTCTTCTAGGTTTACAGTATCAGGGATTGCCTCCAAAGACAACCTAACGTCTCCATAACCTGGAGCCTAGGAGAAAAAGCAACACAGTTAGCACATATCTGTTAACAAAACTTTCCCACTTTAATAAAGGTGCCACATCAGCAAATTCATTCAACAGTTGTGGATCTCCAAGCTGATGTTCAGGAAAAATAATTCACAGTCATTCTAACTTCTTTTTTCTTTTTTTTTTCTTTTCATCCTAACTTCTTTTGCTGCCATTGATTGCCCGTGGAACAATACTATGGACTCTGACTGTGTTTGCTATAAATACTTCATGTTCAGTAGAGTTCAAATGAACCTCAGAGGTAAAAACTCAGTAAAGAAATTTCAATAGGTCTGATCTTAAAGGGATGCTTTCCAAAGATCCTGCAGCTTATACATATATAACTCTAAAAAGAAAGTTATTGCCTAAGCAGAAAAAGTAAGATTGTCTTGAAAAGATCCAGGAAAAAAATACATGTCTGTTCACAAGACACTCAAGCAGGGAAAAGACCACAGAAGCATCAAAGCCTGGAACATCCATGGCAAGATGATAGCTAATGCTGTATTTTATTTTATTATTTTTATTATTTTTTTTTTAACTTTTTAATGTTTATTTTTGAGAGAGAGAGAGAGAGAGGCAGAGCACAAGCTGGGGAGGGGCAGAGAGAGAGGGAGACACAGAATCTGAAGCAGGCTCCAGGCTCTGAGCTGTCAGCACAGATCCAACATGGGGCTCGAACTCACACACCATGAGATCATGACCTGAGTCGATGTCAGACACTCAACCGACTAAGCCACCCGGGCTTCCCTTAACTGCTATATTTTAAATTAGGCCCAGTGAAAATCTTTCTTTTTCCTTTTTGTTTTTTTTTTTTTTTTTTTTGAAACTACTGATAACAGCAGAATCAGTTGTTAACGTTTACTTGACTCTATACCCCTTGTTGCTGGAGAGTTCATTTACAATTAAAGGCTAGCATTTACAGTTTCCCACCAGGGCTTTGAACTCTGACTGCCAAGCAGAGCAAGTTCTTTTATTTTTTTTTATTTTTTTTTCAACGTTTATTTATTTTTGGGACAGAGAGAGACAGAGCATGAACGGGGGAGGGGCAGAGAGAGAGGGAGACACAGAATCGGAAACAGGCTCCAGGCTCTGAGCCATCAGCCCAGAGCCCGACGCGGGGCTCGAACTCACGAACCGCGAGATCGTGACCTGGCTGAAGTCGGACGCTTAACCGACTGCGCCACCCAGGCGCCCCAAATCTTTCTTTTTCCAATTATTACCTGACATAGTGAAAGAAAAGTAATTTTTAAAGAATATATCACAGCAGTTAATATTCAGCATAAAGGGATGATTCTGTAGCATAGTCTCACTAGCACAAAAGAAAGAAGATCGGGAGCCATCCCTGCTTTAAGAGCAGAAATTAGGAAAAGTATCCAAATAATGCTTATAAGACAACCTTAATGGAACTCACTCTCTGAATTTTAGATGACTCGGATTCTAAAAATCTTTTAAAAAGTCTGAACTGAGTTGGTAAATGTAGTAAGTCCAAGAGTTGCAAACACTGCAAAAAAGCCTTTTATGTAGTGGAAGTCAGATGAACAGTGAGCATGAAATACTACAGGAGGGAAAAATTGGTAAGTAGTAATTTACTTTCTGTTTAGTAGAGTAACAAACCATGTATTATGGATAAATTAATATTTGAACATTTTTCATCCATCTCAATATGAATTTTCTACCTAGAAATCAATAAAATTATTAGTCTTTTATCTCTTATTTACTGGTAATAATAATACCTTTTACAAGTGCTGATTTTTTTTTTTTTAAATTTTTTTTTTCAATGTTTATTTATTTTTGGGACAGAGAGAGACAGAGCATGAACGGGGAGGGGCAGAGAGAGAGGGAGACACAGAATCGGAAACGGGCTCCAGGCTCTGAGCCATCAGCCCAGAGCCTGACGCGGGGCTCGAACTCACGGACCGCGAGATCGTGACCTGGCTGAAGTCGGACGCTTAACCGACTGCGCCACCCAGGCGCCCCTACAAGTGCTGATTTTTAGTAATACACCTAGGAAAATTTAGGTTGGTCTATCTGCCCCTCCCATCCCCCAAACCCCCCTCCAGTGTTTTTTCCAGACTCACCATTCGTTGAAGTTGACTGGTCTGTAATCTTCCCCTTTCACCTAGATTTGTTTTCCACACTATATCCAGTTTTCCAATTACTGTTACTCCTTTAATGATGCCTGCTTTTTCTGCAAACTCCTTCTTGGGTTTTAGGCAGTACAAATACTGGCGTGTATCCATTGGCTGCAAATAAGCTCTTGACCCAAATGTAGTTACACTGAGACGGGTGGAGAGAGAGAGATGGAGAAAATTCTCTAAAGTCTTAAAAGAAAAACCATGGCTGTGATTTTTCTTCTGGACGGGAACTGCATGATTTACCATTTCAACACAAATGAAAAAGGACTTGAACTGACAAGATTTACTTTTCTTTAAATGTTTCAGTTGATATGGAAAACCTTTAGTTCTTTCTTTAAAACAGAATGCAATATATTACCTAAAATACTGGATATGTATCAATTAACTGAAAAAATGTGACAGAAATCAGAACCTAAAGTATCCTGTCCCTTTTTCTAAAATTATCAAGGAAAATAGTTTAGAGTAAGAAGAAACATACCACTGTAAACTAAGTGATCATTTGTAAAATGAACCAAAAGATTAGGGAAAGAATGAAGTTACTGTTTTCCTCAGTGGGGATATAGGAGGCTACAAACTTTACTCAATTTAACCACCATAATAAGATAGAAGTAAATTTTTCATCGATGAACAAAATCAGTTACTTTCTGCAGTGATTACCTTCTTATCCATATTAATATCAATTTTGTATTTATTTATTCTTCCTCTTTTAAATTACCTATAGAAAGACATATATATTTCATTTCTGCAAAAAAACCTACATTGTCTCTTCCTATGTCCACTCCTTTTAATGTTGAGAATATTCTTAAAACTCATCCTTCATTTTTATCCTTTCTAGCCTCTCCATCATTTCTTCCCATGCCTCAGTTTTATCATATGCAGGAAAGGATGAACAGTTTCATATTTACCTCACTGAATTATTATAAAAATTACAAGACTATGTTTCAAACAGTAAAACATAAAATGCAAATGGCTAGGATCTTTATAATTGTATGTGGAAGGAGGAATGAATGGGTGAAGCACAGGAGATTTTTAGGGCAATGAGAGTATTTTGTCTAATACAGTAGTGGGGGCTGAATGTCATTACATTTGTCAAAACCCATAAAATGTATGACACAAAAAAATGAACCCCGAATGTGAATTATGGACTGTAATTAATAAAAGTGTCATCAATTCGGCTCATCAATTGTAACAAATGTGCCACAGTAAAACAAGATGTAAAAACTGGGAACTATGAGCAGGGACAGGGGCATGTAGGAACTTTGCTTTCTAATCAATTTTTCTGTGAACATAAGACTTAACTAAGAAAAATAAAGTCTATTAATTAAAAGGAAAATTATAAACCACTCAAGAGTAACAAATGTTAGAAAAGTTCAGATACTTCAAAATAAAAACAAACACTTCATAATTCATATTTACCTTTCTCCAGCTTGGCTGACTGAATTTAATTCTGCTACATTGTACATTATAGATGGCTCCAGTGAAACTTTCTCCATAAACATGGGTGAGGTTGTAATATTCTGAATCTGGGCTTCGAGAAATACTTCATCAGTCTGGGGACATGAAAAAAATATCCACCAAAGTGTAATGGTATTTAAAACATTTATCTCAACAAAAAATATCTGATCTATACGAAGAAAAAATATTAACCACAAATGTGATTAGTTCATGCCTGCAAATTAAAGTTATCATAATTAATGCAAGAAAAGAAATCTTCACCCTAACATAATTAACAGGGGCAAAGTCAAGTGTTAGTTAACTGATAACTTGTCAAACAATGGATGGGGGATAACTATATTTTTTTATCAACATCCAAAAATAGTTCTTTAACTGGAATTTCAATGACAAATATCCTAAATCTTCTAATAACTCATTAAAATGTTAAACTGTGATTTAGTAGTATGCATATACCTATGCATCTATGATTTTAGTGATATGTTAATAGAATTAGGTCATTATAATATTCCATCATATCATTAATATAGTTTCAGTGGTCACATTTTTTCAATTTAGAAAGTATAAGTACCACCAGTACAAAGAATAGTCTATTTTATAATCATATAGGATTTAACTTTTTGAATAAAGCAGTTTGTTAGCAGTCATTAGTGATTTCTTGGTTTATTTTACACAAATATTTAGGGCTGAAAAAAAGGATGTGAATTATACCTATCATAGAGCTTTTAAATCAAACATAAGGTATTTTGTAGTCTTAGTGACAAATGTGAAAACTAATGCTATTCAGCAATATTTTTATGAATGGGTAATTTAAATATGTATTTTTATATAAAATTTTTATTCCTAAAATTTAGGCATTGAAATTTAGATTATTTATGCAAACATCCTTCTTTTTATGTGATTTGGATTTTTTGTGTGCATAAATGAAGGATAACAGACAACTTGGTTCATTTGTGAAACAAACCTGTCTAAAAAATGATATAGCATATTCAATAATTACTTTGTTCAAACGTTTCAAAGTAATATATATGCAGAAAGAAAAAAAAATAAACTATGACCCCGAAATTTGGCACTTAATGTAACTTTTTATATATTAAATCCAGGTAAATGGAAATCATTTGTAAAAATATAATGATGAAGAATATAATATAAAGCATTATTATGTAAACTAAAACAGATTCTTTAGTTCTTGGCACATGTGCGCAAGTGAAAATAGAAATACAATGACTTATCAGTTTAAAAGAATGTACCACTCATAGCTATTATTCTGTTACTTTTTCTCAGAATATGGTAAATATATCCCATCAATCCATTGCTTTAAAAAAAATAACCATAGACCCACATTTCAAATTTAAAAATGCAATTTTCTGCTTAAATTTAGGAAGAACTTAGATAAAATGAAAGAAAAACAAGCAGCATAATGGAAAATTAAGTTAGTTTGAACAGTTAGTATAAAGTCATTTGACATTTGGAAAATTAAGAATTCTGTGCTACAGCAGTCGATGTTGTTATTATGTAAGTCACATATTATAAGCAAATGCCGCTTATATTAAACAGAAATTTGAAAATATGACTTTAGCCAACTTGGGAAAATTTGATATTCTTCTGTTTGCTAATGTCAAAGGGCCAACTTTACCTGACCCAGACGTAAAACTAAAACCACTATGCATTTGAAGATGAAAAAATTTCAACTAGAGTTTACTCAAAAAATTAAAGTATAGTAAAGAAACTTACAGGAAGTTGTTGAAAATCCCAAGTCTATTTTAAACAAAGTTAACATGCCTCTTTTAAAAAAACACCCAAAGGAAAAACACTAAAAGTGAGAGCATAACTGTTTCAATATGACAATTTAATCTTCCATCTAATTTTTTTTCCCACAGAGTAAGATAACCAATATGATGTAAAAAGTACAAATTATCTACCTTTTTAAAGTCATATAAGTGGTATTCACAACTAACTTTGTTTTTCCACTATGTTTTGTACAGAGAGATTAATTAGGCAGAGTCAAAAAGTGGTAAGTAAGAAAAGCATATAAATTTATAATAAAAAATCAAATTACCACAGAACTGAGGTCACTCTAATGGAAAAATAAAAAAGAAAAATTAGAAAAATCAGAATTAAATGTTAAAGAAAAAGAATAACTAACTTTAAATAAAATGCATTTCTGCATTTTTTAAAATTTATTAAACAAGACAGCATTAGTAAAACAAGGAAGTAAACAGAAAGTAACACAGAAATATGACAAATCATTTTTCTAAAGAGGGGAAACTGCTATGGTTAAATGAATAGAGAAGAACACGGTGAATATTTAAACACGAGCAAATATTCAAGGACACATTTGGGCGACAGAGAGGTATATTCCATGCCTTGTAGTGCTATAAATTCGTTACCTATACTGTTATTTTTCATTGATAACTTAGAATGGTTATACATTATCATCCACATCACAGGTGATATATACTGTACAGCTTCTCCTAAATTTGTCTAATAATGGAAGCATTTTTTCAAGGACCATCTTAAGTGATTAGAGTTCTATGTATTATACTTCAAGAAATGCTGGGCTAGATCACTTCTGAAAACTGAAAGTTTATTGTCTTCTTGTTAATATATTTCATAGTTTGTCTCTTTTTCATATATATTTCTAAGGCTACTTATTTATCAAGGGCCATCGTAAATGTTGCCTTTTTCATCCAACCCATAGCTAAAAATACTTTTTCACCTCTTGATGTTCTGAGTCTAAGTACACTTTATGATCTGGGGGATGGTGCTTACACTGTGGTTTTGTCATGTTTATTTCCTCTACCAAATCTAAGTACCATGAAGACTGGGAAGATGTCAAGTTTATATTTATTTCCCTTTAGGACCTGGGATAGAGCTCTATACCCAGCAGGTGACCAAATGTTTGAATCCTGGTTTCTAATGTCACCATTCTTCTTTCCCATTTTAGAAGACTACAACAAAGTTTCTCATAAAATTTGTTTTCCTTTAGGTGATTCACATACTACTATAATTATTACAAACAATGTGAAAAACATGTTCGAGACAAATGTGGGGCTAATAAAAGTCAATGTGTAAGAACTATGGCACATGGAATACTGAGTACTTAGTGAAGAATATACATATTTGATGGAAGGATACAGTCTCATCAAGGGATTAGTAGATGTTTAAAGAGTTAACATCTCTTTATCGTGGGTAGGGGAGTTGGAATACTACATGTGTTCTGTCTTTCTGGTTTACTGTAATACTGTTGATTAATTATAGTACAGCTATTATACTGAATATCTTAGAGACCCTAAAGATTCTATTTGTTCACTCCTAGTTTTTTTTATGTGTTTGTTTATTACTGGGGATGGACAGAAAGAGAGGGAGACAGAGAATATGAAGCAGGCTCCATACTGTCAGCACAGAGCTGGATGTGGGGCTTGAACTCACGAACCGTGAGATCACGACCTGAGTTGAAATCAAGAGTCGGACACGTAACCAAATGAGCCACCCAGGTGCCCCTTCACTCCTAGTTTTTAAAGATATCTCTATTTTGAAAGGTTCAGAATTTTACTAAAACTTTTTTAGCTGACGTTTGTTGGCAAAGATTACAGATCATATAAATGTTAACTGAAAAAGGCAACAAACACAATTGGTACTGTGATTATGAAAAGAGAATATTAAACACAAATGAGTAAAAACTGAAAGAAGACATGGATTAATGAAAAGCCCATTACTTTTTGGTGTGGTCAAATTGTGGATTTTTTTCCCCTTCCTTTTGGGGGAGTATATCACTTTTATAATATTATTCATGGAATAACTAGCAATTTAAAAAACTATGCAAATCACTGTGAATATTAGTGTTATAAAACTATTTGACAAGTATCTTACTGTACCACCACATTTTCATCAAAGGAAGCCTAAAACCGCTTAATATGTGCCTTCCTACAACCCAATTATAGGAAAAAAGACCCACATACTGCCCTATTTGTTTCTAATTTTCAAACATATGTGTTCTAACAGAATAGTTACCCATCTCCCTCATATTATGGAGGAAATCTTTCCCAGCAAAATGATAAATTAAGATCACTTAAAATTCACCAAGCTGAATAGCTATACTATAATTAATCAACAGTATTCTCGTAAAACCAGAACATGTATGTAGTATTCCAGCTCCCCTACCCATGAAAAAGAAATGTTAACTCTTTAAATATCTAGTAATCTCCTTGATGAGACTGTATCCTTCCATCAAATAGGTATATTCTTCACTAAGTAGTCAATAATCCATGTGCATCTGTAATTCTGCTAGGAATGCCTTCACTACTTTGACACTTTTATGTTTCCAACAGGTTACTTCCAAACCCTCCCTCTAGTTCCCCTCCTCATCTTCCCTGAACACTACTCTAAAATCTCAACCCCAGACTTCCTATAGCACATCTTTTTATATCATTCACTTTAGATTCACTATATATACTATATTAGATAGTTTTATTATTTTATGCACTTTTTTTCTTTTCTCCTAATAGGGCTTTACTGCAGGTCAGGTTCCTTATCTTAGGCATCTTTTGGTATGTCCAGTAGTACAAACTTTATATTGAATAAAAACTCAGGTGTTGATGGTAAAAATACATAGGAAATTTGACATATGACTGTAAATTTCTGATCATGTGGCTTAGAGGAATAAATATATAATTTTCATTTCAAAATACTGTAAATGTTTTTGAATTTATCACTGTGGTATGAAAGATATGATTTTTGCGGGAGTAAGGGACCTATTAGGAAATCTGCTTTTTCTGGAACTTTAGAAGCCAAGATGAAGTAGAATTTTTAAAAGGAAATCCAAGCAATAAGACATTTCTCCTAGGCAAAGTCTATTTTATCTCTTTTATTAGGACAGAAGATATCTTCTATTCCAAAAGTTACATATTTCTATATTTTTGCCAAACCTGTTTCTCCCAAAAATTATTTCAAGCCATTCACTGAATTTAACAATCAAACTGTAGCTAACACCCTAATTTTCCAGGGCAAAGAATTTAATTTGATGAGCTCTATTTGTCAATATTTTCCATGAACATTAAATCTTTTTTGCAGGGTTAGATCAACTACTTCAATTTTATGCTATCAGAATCACACTCTAAATACTGAACAAATTGCTAATGTTTTTAGCCAGTAACAATAACCATTATATGGAAGTACAGGGCAATCATTTAGTGCAAGGGGGTGAAAGCCTTACAAAATTTGAGAGAGTAAAATTCAAGATACACTGATTCTATGTAAGTTAAACACAACAGATTAAAATATCTACAAGGAAATTATTCTCTTTTGATTGAAATTTATGCTCATTTTTTTACAAGTAATGTGCAGTTATATAAGCAATTTAATATGAAAAGAAATGTATCAGAATTTTAGTCAAATAAAGATCTTACTGTTTAATCTGAATTCCCATTAAGTACCCAACACTTACCTCTGCGTTATAAAATTTGGTTTTCACATCCAATGGTTTGAGAACCTAGTTTAATAAAGCATATCAATCAGAGGAGATTATTATCATTTGACCATTTATCTTTGTTTGTTTTAAACCATAGGGCATAAATTTGTCAAAGGCATTTTCCAATCTTAACTATGAAAAACTTTTCCAATAGGTATGCAGTATTTTTGCAAAAACAAAAACAAAAAACAATCCCAAATGCATTTTTAAAAGGCAACCATCATTTCTTGAGTGGGTGATAGTTACATGAATTACATTAAGTGTTTATTTCATAATATTTTGCTAAACTGAATATATACATTTTATGTATTTTTCTCTCTATATTTCACAAAAGTGTTTATCAAAATAAGCAAACTTCTTATTTTCTTTTAAAAGGCATAGAAAATCTTTTTTTTTTTTTCAACGTTTTTTAATTTATTTTTGGGACAGAGAGAGACAGAGCATGAACGGGGGAGGGGCAGAGAGAGAGAGAGACACAGAATCGGAAACAGGCTCCAGGCTCCGAGCCATCAGCCCAGAGCCTGACGCGGGGCTCGAACTCACAGACCGCGAGATCATGACCTGGCTGAAGTCGGACGCTTAACCGACTGCGCCACCCAGGCGCCCCAAAAGGCATGGAAAATCTTAAATGTGTGATGCAGCAAAGTCATAGCAAAAATTTTTCCCTTTATAAAAATTTTTTTAAAATGTTTTAAAGTAATCTCTATGCCCAATGTGGGACTCAAACTCACAACCCTGAGATCAAGACTCATATGCTCCACCTAATAAGCCAGCCATGTGCCCCCAAATAAATGTGGGTATGTATGTATGTATGTATGTATGTATGTACGTATTTACTTATTTCCTACTGATAGTACTTTTTCTGCCACTTAAAAACAGAGAGGTATGAAAAATATACACAGCATCGTATCTAGATCTAATTTAGATAACTGTATATGGTCATCCCATCCCTTCTCACATACATGTGCCTATGGTAAACCAGTGGTTTTTAACTATTTTTTATCATGGAGTGAAAATTGTATGTAAGTACAAAATTCTACCTACAATTTCAGTGACTCACGGAATACCAGAAGGAAGCCTAGTCCACTCAGCTCAAGTCAATAATCTCTCATTTAAAAATCTGTTTAGAAATTTGATACTATTTACATTGATTTTATCTGGACTTTACACTCATTTCATCCCTCTCATATATTCTTGTGTGTTTTGTCAAGGCATAAAAACAGAACAATTATTTTATGGATAAAAATCTTCAAGTGAGGGGCACCTGGCTGGCTCAGTCAGAAGAGTGTGCAACTTTTGATCTCAGAGTCATGATAAGGCCCATGCTGGATGCAGAGATTACTACAAAAAAACAAAACAAAACAAAACAAAAACAAAACTTAAAAAAAATGTTCAAATGAAATATTACATTGACAATGATAATTTCTCTGCTTTTACTTAATTTACTCTGACTTTAGATTGCTAGTAATATAACAAATCCAAATACATGAAGCTCCACTATTTGGAGCCTGTTTTCACTGCAGATACATAGGAATAACTTCATAGGGAAAAACGGCATCTAAAAAATATTTACCATTGTCATATTTAATACCTGAAATTTGAAGAATTTTCTAAAATACATTTTTTCTCCACCCTGAGTTGTATAGCTCACTGCACACACCAGGCTGAAATAGAAAGATATCTCTGAATCATCTTCAATTTTGTTTTTAAATAATAAATCTAATATACCTCAATTCTACTCACAAATCTGGAAAAACATTAATACCAATAATGTGGAAGTATAGCCAAATGGGCCTAGAGTAGGAAAAAAAGAGTTTCAGCAGATAATATAATTCCATGAACAAGAAAGTTCTAATTAGCAAAATTAAATACACTCTTTTGGAGCAGGAAGTCAGAAACTTTTCCTTCAAAAGGTGAAATATATTCCAAAATAAATCCCAGAATAATCAAATAGTTGAGCGTACAAAGTAAGTTCACAAAAATTACAAGAAAAAAAATTACAAAATCAAAATTTCAGGGCAGGGAAAGACTTTTTAATATTAAAGGGCAATGGAAAGGAAAAGAGTCTTATAAATTTACAAACTGAATGAATAAAAAACACTGAAAATTAAAAAGCAGACAAAATGGGATAAAATACTTCTAACATTATGAAGAGAAATTCTTGTAAATAAAACATTAGTATCTTACTCAAAAGAGAGGGAAAGGATATACATAGGTAAATCACAGCACCAGAACAGGCTAACAAAAATGTGAAAATGTTCAGCCTCACAAGTAGTCAAAGAAATAAAATAATGAGGTAAAATTTTTCTACCTCTTAAGATTTGGAAAAAATTCTTTACACATGTCATCAAGGTTGGCAAGGGTATAGAGAAACGGACTCTATCTATATTGCTAGTGGTTGTAAGAAATTTAGAAAACAATCCCTAACAGTCTTAAAAATCCTTACATGCTCCTATAGTAAACTCACTTCAAGCAATCTACCATAGGAAATACTATGTTATTTAATTCATCACTGTGTGAAATAACTCATACTGTGTTAATAACTTATCACTGTGTTATTTCTAATAGTGGGAGACTAGAAATAATGTGAAGTCCAACATTAGGGTACACAAATTTAAAGAATATGGTCCAAGTATGTAAGATAAAACCATCTTAAAAATAATGTTTTCAAAGAATACTGACTCAAGTGACTCATAATATATATATGTTCATATATATATGAACATTTACAAGACTGGAAAATAGTACACTAATGTTTTCATAGTGGTTACACTCAGTGGTGATATTACAGGTAATTTAATTTCTCCTTTGTAACTGTCCATAAGCCAGATACTAGGGATAAAGAGTTGATCAAAGCACAGTAACTGCTCTCAAGTGCTCATGGTAGGAAGCAGTAATAGCAAGGTTATGAGTTTTTTGAAGCCAGATATAGATTTGAGCTCCATGTCATTATTTATGAGTTATTTAATTCTACAAGAGTCTCTTTTTCTCTAAAAGGAGGATTTAACGCATTTACTATCATTTTGGTAAACTCAACAAGACTCTAAGGCTTGTATCAACCACAGAGTATATGCACTACTGTCCTCTGGTAGATCTTCTGGTAGCCGACTCCATGGAACTCATACTCTAATGGAAATGACAGGATTGCTTCTCGGCCTTTTGGCTAAGATCAAGTGTAATGGAAATGACAGGTACTAAGCAATTAATTTTAAGTACAAGACCAAAACAATGGTAAGTTGTGAATGCTATAGAATACATAAAAAGGGGTCTAGTGTAGGAGGTCAGGAAAGCCTCTTTGAGAAAGTTGTGGTGAATCAGAGAGATGAAGAAGTAGTACTAAGGTAAACAAAATAACAAAGGCATTCCTTTGTGAGGGAAGAGTATATTTCCAGTCACAGAGGAGAAAGGAAACATCTGTATGACTCAGTATAAAGAAGGAGGGAGGAAGGAGAAAAGGTAAGAACTAGAGCAGCTGGTAAGGATTAGGCTCTAGAGAACTCTGTAAAGCCAAAGCAGTCAGAATTTTCTAAGGGTAGTGGGAAGCCAGTGAAGAGTTAAGTGACTTATACCACATAATTAATAAATGATGAAGCTGGAATCTGAAATCTTTAAATTTTGACTCTAAGGCTTGTATCAACCACAGAGTATATGCACTAAGAAGTGCCTACAAAAGAGAGGTCACCAAATTGAAATGATTAATAGCTCATATTATATACTTCTTTAAGTCAAAGAAGAGAGGCAAAAATGGTGATGTTAAGTGGAGATGAAGAAGGGAGGATAATGACATATAGTTAGTAAGAACAGGACTTTGTAAAATGATTGGATGTGGGGGTGGTAAGGCAGATGGAGAAGCCTAAATTACTTTAGATGGCTGAAATTTTCATATTTGCCTCTCAGACAGGAAAATAGAGCATTCATATTCAAATACATATAAAGGCCAGGAATACAGAATTTGAGATTTTTTTTCTTATAGCTTGTCTTACTTTGGTTCTGTTTTTCTGAATTCTCAGGGTAGAGTATACAAACACAGTTAAATACATAACTGAAAAACCATGACTTTAAAATTAACAACAGTTAATTAACTGCTATTAACATCCGTTGTCAGCATTTGAAAAATAATAAACATACTTTCAGTCAGGGTGGTAACTGGGTTTTAAATGTTTTCATGGCTTGTTATTTTTTGGATAGGGCTGTCTATAGATGCAAATAGGAAACTAGAAATAAATGAAAATAAATCAAGATATTTTTCCTTACAAAACAAACTTTGTTTAAAGTTTGTTTCTGGTAAGCATGTAAACCTGGAACATAAAATTGCTTCTGAAGTAGGGTCTTAGGGTTTAATGATAAGTGGGCTTACAGTAAAAATTTCAAATACTGGCATATATAAGAAAAAGTCTTTGAGAACTAGTAAAATTAATCCTTACATGTGTGTTCCAATTTCCTTTACTTCATGATGTATGACATCATCAATACAACAGTCAGGTTTAAGTTCAGCCACTGCAGCATTGGAGGCTGAAAGATTTAAACGCTGAGAACTTGTCTGAAGATCAGCCTTGAAAGAAAGAGGCAGAAAAATCCAAATGAGACTGGTTCACTACAGGATGTGGATAGGTATGGGTGAAAAGACCAAGGGAACAGGAACAAGGAAGTAGGATTGAGGGGGAGCAATACTTCTTGGTGGCAATCTTTCTACTTAGCTCTGAAGCTTAGAACCATGGTAATGGTTCACATGCACCAAAATTAAATGCAATCAGCCAGGAGGGCAGGGGGAATGTGGAATGGAACACAAACAGTACCAAATGAACACAATCATAGTCAGGGGGAAAGGGTGACAAAAAATGAACTAACCTAAGTAAGCCTGGCAAACAAAAGCTAGAGACAAAAAGAATGGTACACTAGCTAGAATGTACTCTAGCTAGTACATTTGCTTGTTCACAGGGTATGGGTTAGCAATTCTGAAACGGTTATGTGTATGCTAAGACTAAACAAAAAAATATGGATAACAAGAGAGAAGTTTCTCACTTTTGGAGAAAAAGAAAGTACAAATAAAAAAATGGAAAAGGCTGCAATGAACTTTTGATGCTGAGTTGGAATTTGAGGCATCAATATGAACATATGGTTGTAAAACACATATACAGATGGGTATTCCAGAAACAAATACAGATAGATGTGTGTATATAATACTAAAATAAAAATAACTATTCAAAACAATATTAGATGTTATCTGTACAACTAGAGATCAGCATTAAAGTCATCAAAAGCCTTTGAGTCCTTTTTTGAAAGGACTACCTTCTCTAACACCCAGTTGCTTTCTATTTTGTTCCCCTTTTTCTTTCTTTTTGAACACTTCTCACTCTGTCATAAATGGCATCCTCCCTTAATCTCACTTACTTTGTCACATTCAAACTTAACTTCCCTTGTAACATTTACCACAATCTATAGTTACCTTATTTACATGATTTTGTATCCCTGTTTCTGCCTACCCTACCAGAAATGTAAGGTCTGTGAAGGCAGGAACCTCTATCTTCCGTTGCTCAACCTGATGCCTGACATCATGGTAGGCAATTAAGAAATATCTGTTAAACACTGAATGAAGTTATGATAACACATTGAAGGAAATGTTAAGAAAAATTCAGACAAAGTGAAGATCACGTTCGGCCATGGGGATTGGGGAGGTTTTTACATAAAAGCTAGGATTCCAAGTTTCTGTTTCTTTAAAAAAAAAAAAAAAAAAACTAACAGATTTTCTACAGTTAATTCTAATCTAACGTTCTTAATGCTAGGCACTGTGAAGTGGGATACTTATTAGTGCTATGCCTTTGGTCATTATATTCAGTTATATAATAGTAGTACAAAAATTTATTGGGCACCTTCCATGTGCAAGGCCTTGCTCTAAGCACATTACTCACTCAATAGTCACAATTCTAAAGTAGGTAATCGTGCTATTCCTATTCCTATATTCCTAATAGTTGTACTATTCCTACTAGTCCCACTATTCTTCCAAGGCACAGAGAAGTAACAACTTCCCCAAGGTTATACAACTAATAAGTAATGGGGGTAAGATTAAAAATTTCTTAAACATTTTAGAAATCAGAGAAGGGGAAAAAAAAGAAACAGCCAAACTCATGGACTTTCTGTCCAATATGTTTTCCTGTGTGTCATTTTGTAAACATTAATCATAATAACAGTATTAATTTATATATGGCTGAACATTTTTATCTTTCTCCTTTTTCACTATTATAAACAGTGCTGCACCAAACATTTATTTCCTTATTCTCTCTGCCAAGACTTCTCCAGGAGCTGGAGAAACATCAGTAAACAAAACTGACCAAAATCCCTGCCCCTGCTGAATTGAAATGTTTGGGGAAAATAATAGAAGAAATGGAAGGCTGGCTTGGGGTAGGAGAATACAATTTAAAATGCAGGATAGGCTCTATGCTGCAAATTCATTTTTGGATGAGTAGAATTTGAACAGGCCAAGGGGAAGGTGAGGAGAGAAGGAAGCATTTCAGGTAAGTCTTCAGAGGCCATTAAGAAAGAGTTTGGGGGGCGTGTGTGGTTGGCTCAATTGGTTAAACATTCAACTTCAGCTCAGGTCATGATCTATGATTCATGGGTTTGAGCCCTGCATGGGGCTCCTTGCTGTCAGCACAGAGCTCGCTTTGGATCCTCTGTCTCCCTCTCTCTGCTCCCACCCCCCCCCCCCACGTTCCCACACTCTCTCTCTCCTTCTCTCAAAAATAAATAAACAGTAAAAAAATTTTTTTTTAATTAAAAAAAAAAGAAAGAGTTTGGTATAATTAAGGGATTTATATTCAGGAAGAGAGAAAAAAATTTCAAAGATCTAGAATAAGCTTCAAGAGAATAGAGGCCTTGTCTGTTTCCTGCTGTAACTCTAGCAACTAGGAATGTACCTGGAACACATTAGAAATAGAAATTCTTGGGCACCATTTCAGCTGATCACATCAGAAACTCTGGGAATAAGCCTCAGCAATCAGCATTTTAACAAGCCCTCCAGATGATATTAATAAACTACTGGTATAGACCATAAGGGTTATCTATTATTTTTCGTTTATAGTACACTAAGTACACTGTTTTTGTTTATAGAACACTATTTTTTTTACGTAACATGCTAAAGTTTTCAGACACGGAATTTTTTTTTATCAATTAAAAACCAAACAAATAGGGGTGCCTGGGTGACTCAGTCAGTTAGGCATGTGACTTTTGATTTTGGCTCAAGTCATGATCTCACTCACGGTTTGTGGGATTAAGGCCCACGTGGGGCTCTGTGCTCTGTGGGATTCTCTCTCTCCCTCCTCCACTCATGCACATGCTTTCTCTCTCTCAAGATAAACATTTAAAAAAAAAACAAAAAACTTATGGCTCAGTTGGTCAAGCATCTGACTTCGGCTCAGGTCATGATCTCAGGGTTCATGAGTTCAAGTCCTGCTTGAGATGAGGCCTGCTTCTCTCTCTCCCTTTCTCTCTCTCTCTTTGCCCCTTACTCACTTGCCCCCCCCCCAAAAAAAAACCAAAAACAAAAAAACCCTAGTGGTTTCTAGTTAAACATGGTAGATTATTATAAGCATATTTATTCTCAAAAACAACACTAAGCTGATAGTAAAAGAATAAAAAAAGTACAGATTCACAGTCTCTTTTCCAGGATTCCAAAATTGAAGAGCTATACAAAATTAAAGCTTTGAGGCACCTGGGTGGCTCAGTCAGTTAAGCATCTGACTTTGGCTCAGCTCACAATTTCACAGTCTGTAAATTCCAGCCCCACATTGAGTGGGGCTCTTTGCTGACAGTGTGGAGCCTGCTTTGGATTTTCTCTCTCTCTCTCTGCCCCTCCCCTGCTCATGCTCTCTCTCTCTCTCAAAAATAAATGAATAACCTTAAAAAAAAGTTAAACCTTTGAGGGTAGAATTCTGGGTAGCTGAGGTAATAGCAGCAGTGTAATTGTGAACTTCTCAAGTCATCCTCAAAACAGAAACAAAACACACAACAAAAGCAAATAAATCTATATTAAACCTTGTGTTTGTATAATCAGAAGGCAGCAAAAGTCCAAACTTCAAATTACCTATAAGTATACACATACCAAATTTTTACAAGCTGTTTCTCATACTCTTGCCATGAGCCTTTGCAAAGATTAAGAAAAGTCCAGGAAAAGTTGAGCTGAAGAGACAGCTAAGAATAGAGAGAAGAGTAGAGATGATCTAAACCATTTCCAGAAAGACAAAGTCTATTCTAAGTGTGAAAGTACTGAGAAATAAATAGCATTTCTGGAAGATGAGAGTACAGTCTTCAGGAAAGGGTCTTAACCATGTTTGTGAAGAGACACTCTTGGCAAGAAAACACTTCAGGAGAAAAAGAGTTAAAAAAAGAGAGACACTTTTTGGAAACTGTGCAGTGAGGAAGAAAAATTTAGGACAGTACAATTCATATGAAAAGCGAAAATGTGAGAACACACAACCCTTTCTTACTCTACCAAAATCTACACGATAAAGAAACCATACTTTGCTCCACTGCTTTAAGAGGGTGTTTTTGAATAAGGAATATCAAAGCACCCAAACTGCATTTCACAGAATCAAAAGCCACCAATTGTCTTCATCTATACAAAAATATTGTAAAAAGAAGAAAGATAAGAAATGAAATAATTCACTGATAAAAAATGCCGCACAAAACCAATAGTGAAACAGAAGAAAACTGTAAAACACTCAAAGTGAATTAAATACTCTCAAAAAATTTTTGAAATATGAAAAAACACCTGGAACGAGAACTTTAAAAAAGTTTTTTAATGTTTATTTATTTTTGAGAGTGGGGAGGGGAAGATTGAGGGAGACAGAGAATTGGAAGCAGGCTCCACACTGTGAGCACAAAGCTTAATGCAGGGCTTGAACTCACAACTGTGACATTATGACCTGAGCCAAAATCAAGAGTTGTCTGCTTAACTGGCTGAGCCACCCAGGCACTCCAGAAATGAGAAGTTTTAAAACTAAGGCTAAACATTTTTTGGTTTGTTGTTTTGTTACTGTTGTTGCTTTAGTGTGGGGCTAAATTTTTTTTAGAGAAGAATGTAAATAATTGATTGAATTCAGGAAAGATAAAGATAGAAAAGATACAAATCATATTAAAAATGTGATACGCCAAAGGAAATAATGGAATAAAACTATTAAAATATAATCCATGAAAACTTTCTCGCAATAACAGATCTAAATCTACATTTTGAAAGAGTCCACTTGGTATCAGAGATATTATATCAAAAGACCAATTCTAAAACATACAGAAAAAAAAAATCCTCAGGGCCACCAGGAAAAAATTATCAAATAACTTAAAAAGCAAAAAAATTAGACTGGCATTAGTCCCCTCAAAAATAACATACACAGGGGTACCTGGGTGGCTCAGCTGAGTGTCTGACTTTGGCTCAGGTCATGATCTTGTGGTTTGTGAGTTTGAGCCCTGAATTGGGCTTGTTGCTGTCAGTGTAGAGCCTGGTTGGGATCCTTTGTCTCTGTCTCTCTCTCTGCCCCACCCCCGCTCACACTTTCTCTCAAAAATAAAAATAAACATTTAAAAAGAGAAAAAAACCCCACAACATATATAGCTAAGTAACAAAGGAGTAGCATTTTCAGAAAACACAAAGAAAATGTAAACAAAGGATTTTATATCCAGCCAAACTGTCCTTCAAGTATAGAACCGTTTTTTAATTATTTTTTTTAATGTTTATTCAGTTTTGAGAGAAAGAGACACAGTGTGAGCGGGTGAGGGGCAGAGAGAGGGAGACACAAAATCTGAAGCAGGCTCCAGGCTCCAGGCTCCAAGCCATCAGCACAGAGCCCGACGCGGGGCTCGAACTCACAAACTGTGAGATCATGACCTGAGCGAAGTCAGATGCTTAACCAACTGAGCTACCCAGGCACCCCAAGTATAGAACCATTTTTGAACATGTAAAGGCTCAGAGAATATTATACCCACAAGCAGGTCCTGAGCAATCTACTTGAGAAATCTCTGTCCAATCAATATGCAAATAAAAACGGGAAGAGATGAGAAAGGGAAAAAGGAAAGTGGTATGAGCAATAGGTAAGAGATAAAGGATGATATTAAAGACTAAAAGCTTTACAGTAAGCAGTTAAGTAAGAAACAGGTAAGGGGAAATATCATAAAAGGCATAAATATAAAGGCAAAAACTAAAACAAAAATAAAAACCTTCCTGTATACAAAAATTATTTGAAAATAATGAAAACACATTGTGTGAAGAAAAAACCCATAGCAGTTAGAATATAATACACTTAATATTTAAAGAGAAAATAATGTGACATATTGGAAATCAAGCACATAAACTTATACATACATGAGTGCACTTAATTCACCTAATAAAAAATCCCATACAGCTCACAATGACCCAATTATATGTTGTATAAAAGAGACATAAATAAAAATAATTGCTAAAGGGTAAAATTAAAAAGATGGACAAAAGCACTTCAGGCAAATGGAAACAGTAACAAAACAGGGATAGGGATATAGACACCACAACTAAGATACAAGCCAAAAAGCATGGCAAAGGAGGAAACTTTTAGTGCTATAAGCCGCAATTCAAAATGAAGAATAAGTATAAATACCTATGAACCAAACAGCATTGCCTTTATAAAGTAAAAAGTATAAAAGATATAAATAGAAACACATTAACAATATGAGATTAACATGTCACTTTCAGTATAAGATCAAGCTGACCAAAAAAAAAAAAAAAAAAGGGGAAGTAAAGGTACAGGAGACCTAACAACACCAACAGTACATATCTAACTTTACCATGCTAATAGAAAATACACCTTCTTCTCAAATACATATATGATATTCATTAAAAATTAATATTAGGTCAAAAAGAAAACATTAACAAGTTCTACTGGAATAAAACAATAACAAAACTGATTATGATGCAATTAAACTACAGATCATTAACATTAGAGAACAAAAAAGCCTATTAAACAACAGTTTAATATCTGAAAAATCTATTAAACAACTCTTGGGTAAAAGAGGAAATACAAATAAAATGATAGAATTCTTTAAAAATAATCATAATGAAAACACTACCTATCAGAATCTGCAGGATATATTTAAAGCAGTCAATCAGAAGAAAATTCACTTTTATCAACAGAAATAAAAGAATAAAAAGTTAAAAATTAAATCCCTAGATGAAAAGCTAGAAAAGAACAAGGTAAACAATCAGAAGCACAAGAACGGAGCTCATTAAAAGCAAAAATCAATGAGGTAGAGAAAAAACATTAAATAAAAATAACAAAAATTCCTTTTTTGAAAAAAAAATTAAAATATATGAACCTTGAGCTAGTTTAATCAAGAGGAAAAAATAAAGGAAGCAAAATTATATAAAATAAGGAATAACCAGGGGAAAGTAACACCAAAAGAGAAGAAATTTTTAAGAGACTACTTTGCAGACCTGTATGCAAATAAATTTGAAAATCTACCTCAAGTGAATCATTTCCTAGAATGAAACAGTCTCACAAACTGTTATATAACATTAGACATAAAAAGCTTAAACAAACTGATCACAGGAATGAAAGTGCAAATGCTATCAAGAAACTTCCCCTATAAGACACACAATCCATAAGATTTCACAGAATTCTATACACCCTACAAAAACCAGATAGTCTAAATGCTCCAAATATATTGCTCCAAGGCACTGAAAATGAAGGAAAATTATCTAAATCTTTTATTAAGCAACCAAAATATCGACACCTAAAATTTGAGAGACAACATAAAAATGAAAACATAGGTGAATATTATGCTGTGCTTCCTGACCTATATCCTCTTAAGTTATTTTTAAGTCAAAAATGGCTTCTGTGCATATCGTGAATCTTAATGTCTTACCTGAGAAACTATGATAACTCTTGGGTGGGCACTGCACTGTTCAATAAACATTAGCTACTATTATTATTAAACACCCCTATCTTTATGGAAATTCAAATTGAATAAAGCCAACAGAAATATAAATACATATTTTACAGTAAGTATGCTATTATATTGCTTGTTCTTTTCAATATTAACTTAAATCATATGCATTTGCTGATTCACTCACCTTATGAAAATAAATTCATCCTTTACTGAAATGCCAGGAAAAAAGTGTATGTTCTCAAAGTTCTCAGAGTCAGACCTTTTCATAATAAATGTAGAAGGTGGCAAACTTTTTCTTTAAAGCTCAGATACCAAATACTTTAGAGTTTAGAACTCCCCAGTTGTAGCTTGAAATGTGCCACAGATGACACATAAATGAATGACTGTGGCTGGGTGCCAATAAAATTTTATTCATGGAGACTGACATTTGAATTTCATATAATTTTCACCTAACAAAGTAAGATTGTTTCTTTTCAATCATTTGAGAATGAAGAAACCGTTCCTAGTACAAAGGCCCTATAACAACAGGCAAGAGACCAAATTTGGCCAATATGCTATACAGTCTGCCAACCCCACCTAATAAAAGGCAGAAACTCCATTCATAGTATAACAAACATACATTTTGCATCCGGTTTCTGGAAGTTGGGTAATATATGAAATTTGGCATTATTGGCTCTCCGAGGACCTTTTCAATTCTAATACTTGCTGATATTTTCAAGCTCATATTTTTTAATGTTTATTTTTGAAAGAGAGAGCGTAAGTGGGGGAGGAGCAGAAAGAGAGGGGGATAGAGGATCCAAAGGTCTCTGTGCTGACAGCAGGGAGCCCGATGTGGGGCTCAAACTCACAAACCCTGGAGATCATGACCTCAGCTAAAGTCAAACGCTCAACCGACTGAACCACACAGGAGCCATTTCAAGCTCATTTTCATGGGACTTCCCTTTTGGCAAGGCTCTAGTAATCTAAACTCACCATGTGAAGACAGCTTTGGTGCCTTCTCTCTGACCTACAGTAAATTTTTACTTTATGTCCTTTCTCTTTCTGAATAAATTTCAGATTGTTTGAGTTAGCATAGTCTACCTCTTGACTTCTTTTTTATTAAAAAAAATTTTTTTTAGTGTTTTATTTATTTCTGACAGACAGAGCATGAATGGGGGAGGGACAGATAGAGAAGGAGACACAGAATCTGAAGCAGGCTCCAGGCTCTGGGCTGTTAGCACAGAGCCTGATGCATGGCTCGAACCAGTGAACCATGAGATCATGGCCTGAGCTGAAGTCAGACGCTTAACCAACTGAGCCACTCAGGTGCCTCACCTATCCCTTGATCTCTAAACTAATGTAACAATCTTCTAGCTGGTGTATTTGCTATAAACTATCCCATATAATGCTTTCATATCAATCTTCCAACACAGTGTGAATACCTTTGCTGACTGCCCACTGTCTTAAATTTAAAAAAGAAAAAAAAGGCTAAAACCTTCAGCTATAACCTTTCAAGATACTCCACTTTATGGCTACTACACATCTCTATAACTTTATCTATTTCTTCTTCTTTTTTTTTTTTTTTTTTTTGTTGTTGTTTATTTGTGAGAAAGAGAGAGTGAGCAGGTAAGGGACACAGAGAGAGGAGGACAGAGGATTGGAAGCAGGCTCAGCACTGATAGCACAGAGCCCAATGTGGGACTCGAACTAAGCAACGGTGAGAACATGAGCTGAGCCAAAGTTGGACGCTTAACTGACTGAGCCACCCAGGCCCCCCTAACCTTACCTACTTCTATGAAGTGAATTCTGTTCACTGCTACAAGAACACATTATGGATTCCTATGCCTCTGCTCCTCATTATCATGTCCTTCTTTTTCTCTAAATCCCACCATTCTTTAAAGATCCTGTTGTGTTCCTTCTCTTCCAATAGGCCTTTATGATTGATGCAATCCTCTGTGATCTGTCCTCCTCTTTCAAATTTTATTATGTTTATTACAAATTATTAACAAAAATTTAAATCCGTGACTGGTACATTTTCTCACCCAAGCTATCAAACCTTGGAGGACAAGGAAAAATGATTCTGTGCTTAGCATAGTATCTTAAAGTTTTAGGAGTTCAGTTAATGCTTGTTGTTAATGACAATTAAGAAGTCCAGTATCAAATGCATTTTTTTTTATAAGTAATAACTCTTAGATCTTCAGACTTTTTAAATTTTTTTTTCAACGTTTATTTATTTTTGGGACAGAGAGAGACAGAGCATGAACGGGGGAGGGGCAGAGAGAGAGGGAGACACAGAATCGGAAACAGGCTCCAGGCTCTGAGCCATCAGCCCAGAGCCCGACGCGGGGCTCGAACTCACGGACCGCGAGATCGTGACCTGGCTGAAGTCGGACACTTAACTGACTGCGCCACCCAGGCGCCCCAGTATCAAATGCATTTTAATGAAATTTCAGAAACATAAGAATAGAAATTAACAAGCTAAAAAATATATATATCCCAAACAAGAATGCCACTTACTTTTACTAATATATCTTTAACAACTTGATTGCTATCATTATGAACGCTGATATAACTGGAAAAGGTCTCTCCCAAAAATATATTCCTGTGAAATAAAATAAACTTTTAGGCAGAAATGCATTCGAGTTTTAACACAAATATTCTACTTGAACACCACTGAGAACTTTAAATGGAGAAGAATTTACTAAAGGATAGAGATCAGTTGAAATACCGCTTCAGCATTCCTTTGTGTACCTTAGACAGCTCATTCATTACCCAGTACAATTCAAAATACTGACTTATTCTATAAAACATGATATATATCTAGCCCTCAACTACTGCACAGCCACTTTCCTCAGATATAAGCCACTAAAATCAGATCCATGTTAAAGGTCTTTTGACTAATTACTTAAGAGGCTAGAAAAAGACAATTTTTGAAATAACTTATTCCCTGAATCTAGAGGAGACCCACTTAAGTAATTGGTATCAGTATTTTTTACCAATTTGTTTTATTTTTCTAAGTTGTTCTAATACAAATAATGATTACTGGATTTACCTTATGCTTTTATTGAAGTATATTTTATAAAAATACATGTTTATAAATATGTATTACAAAAAAATACAACAATATTTTACATGAATTTTTTATATGAATATATTTCCAAGCTTTCAAGACACTAGTCACATTCTGTAAACCTTTTTTTAAAAACCTGAAAAATTCCATGTGGTCTTAAATACTCTCAGTTGCAAACACAGTGAAACCAGAAGCTTCTACCTCATTAATAAACTAGAATAAGAGAAGAGCTAGCAGTAAGAAGGAATAAAAATTGAGAGTTCCTAATAAAAAGATAAGTCTGATAACTTATGCTGGGAAAGAGCTGTGTAAGTGAACAAAAAGTTGCTTCTGAAAGACATTTAGATGAAGTCAGTTAAAATAAAAGGAATACATGGTCATTAAAAAATACAGTAAGATCTAAAGAAGAAAGTTAAAATTTTATCATCCTAGAAACCCCTATTCATATTTTGGTAGGTTTCTTTTCTTTCTTTTTTTTTTAAATAAAAACTGCCCCGAATCATATAGTATAATTTTGGTAAAACTTTTTTTTTTTTTTACACCACTTAAATGTACAGGAGTATTTTTCCATTCCATAGTTATTTTATGAAAATATAATTTGTAATGGCTTTGAAGTACCGTTGCATGCTTTATGTCAATGTTATCATTCTTACCCAAAATTCTGTGGTAAAGTCAACATTTCTCCCAACATTAAAATTTCTGCACCATTTACGGTTGAAGGATCATCTCTCATGAGTTGGTTAAAGAGATCTCCTATAGAAAGAGAAAAACAGAAAATTCTAACATCTATGTTGTGAGTTTTACTTCCATTAAAGAAATAGCTGGGAGAAATATTTAATTAAAAAAAATTTAGTTTGTAACCTTCACTACAACAAATGTGTGCCAAAAAATTCTACTTTCACAGAGAATGAACACTTCAGAAACAAAGGAAAATGAAGGTCATGAAATATAAAATATAGATAACTCCAGTAATTTTAAATAAAGGGAATGCTAATACACATGTTGATGGGACATTTGAGGATAAATAAAATTTTAATATCATGACTATGAATATACTCCTCTTGTTGCCATAGGATAGCAACAGTCTCTTGGCTAAGAAATTATGAGTGAGACCTACCACTTAGAAAGCCACCACTCACATCATATAAAACCAGACAATAAAGAATGCAGCAAAGAGCATGAGACTGGCAAGACTATGCTTATTGCTAGGTAATACAGGCAGTCCAGGCTGCAACTTTTCCCTAGGTGCAAACAGAACAAAGCATACCAGGTAAGTCCTTTTCTTCACATGTCACTGGAATATTGGTGAATAAAGTAGGTTTAGTTAACCGCATCACTGTGAATTAAAAAAAAAAAGAAGAAAGAAAAATATTAATATTGCTTTGGGCCAGTATTCCCAAGTTGAGAGCATATTTCAATTCTATACTAACATCAAATATAACCTAAAAGCTTCCTAAATATTATGTACTTCCCCAAATAACACTAAACTATTATTAAATATTACTAAGATAGTAATTTATAACAAAAAATCTTACATGATTTATTTACAACCTCATTATAAAACTGTAAATGTAATATACCACATAATAGAAAAAGTGGAAAAGAAAGGAATTTTAAAGCTTAAGGTATAGGAGAACAAGACTTTAAAAAATATCCTGAGTGACTTCACTGTGAACAAAATATCAGCCTTACAGAGAAAAAAGTTTTGATGCACCATTTTGAACATCAAACCATAATTTTACACCAAAAGAATCTTTGTGAGCTTTCTCTCTCAGTTCTAATCACTGGCCACTGGAAGTTCAATAAGTGGACCTGTAAGTAATATTTTTCTATACAGAAATTACAAAGGTATCACTTAACCTATAGCTCTTTAAAATTCCAATTAAGGGGCGCCTGGGTGGCACGGTCGGTTAAGCGTCCGACTTCAGCCAGGTCACGATCTCGCGGTCCGGGAGTTCGAGCCCCGCGTCCGGCTCTGGGCTGATGGCTCAGAGCCTGGAGCCTGTTTCGGATTCTCTGTCTCCCTCTCTCTCTGCCCCTCCCCCGTTCATGCTCTGTCTCTCTCTGTCCCAAATAAATAAATAAACGTTGAAAAAAAAATTAAAAAAAAATAAAATTCCAATTAAAACTAAGATTTGTTCTTGGGACATAAAAGAATGTGTCTAAGTTTAGAAAAACAAGTAAAAATAAGCTAAGGAAATTAATGGGAAAAAATGAGGAAGAACTGGATTTACCATATATTAAAACATTTAAGTCTAAAATTAATTAATTGGTTTATTAATGTAAGACTATACAGATATATTAGTTTAAAAAGAGATTAGAATGCAGCCAAAGAAATCAACATTATAAACTGCTAGAACTGTTTAGCTATCTAGAAAAAATTTAAAAAATTAATATACGAATTCATTTCAAATATCAAGTAAAATGCCTATATATCAAATAGTTAACAGGCAAAAATTAAGCACAAAAAGGGAAAATTTATGTAATTTAGTTTAGTGTGGATAGGACATCCTAACTATTGAAACTATTGAAACATGCTAACTACTGAAAATCTTTTTCAATTATTTCTAATGACTGACATTTGATCACATCAAAATAAAGACCAAAATATAACATTAAAAATCATACAAACTTGTAAAATATTTCAGAAAATGCAGGGGTACCTAAGTGACTCAGTTGGTTAAGTGTCCAACTCTTAGTTTTGGCTCTGGTCATGATCTATCTCATGGTTTCTGGGTTCAAGCCCCCTGTCAGGCTCTGCATTGACAGTGCAGAGCCTGCTTGAGATTTTTCTCTTTCCTTCTCATGCCCCTGCTCATGCTCTCTCTCTGTCTCTCTCTCTCTTTCAAAATAAACAAACTCTAAAAAAAAAGTTCATTCAAATCAAACCCCCAAAACTTTAGACTAGTGACCTAAATGGTTATTCACAGTATAAGTGGTATTCATTAGCATATGTAAACATGTATCACCTAACTACTAACTAGTTATATCATTCATATTAAATTTAACACCTTTCTCATCTTGGTCTCAGCTTAAACATCATCTTTTCAAAAAAGAAATAACAGCTCACCTACTTCTTTCATAGCTCCTTGTATTCATCATGGACTGATATATGTACTTATTTACAACACTATGATCCAAAGTCCATGAGGTTTAGGCTCTTATGTATTATGTTTAGTTTTGTGGCTTTGTTGCTTGACATAGGTTCTGGCACCTAGTATATTCAATAGATCTTTGCCAAATGAAAGAATTAGTAACTCATCCAAATCCTCAAGTAAATGGTATTTTGAAGATGTAAGTTTCATGAACCAAGGGCACTAAACAACGTTATATTAAATAGATGGCTTTTGAGAGGTGCCTGGCTGGCTCAGTTGGTAGAACATGTAGCTCTCCGTCTCAGGGTTCTAAGTTCAAGCCCCATGCTGGGTGTAGAGCTTACTTAAGTAAAGTAAAAACAAAATAAAATTAAAAATAAAGTGGGGCTCCTGGGTGGCTCAGTCGGTTAGGCGTCCGACTTTGGCTCAGGTCATGATCTCGCAGTTCGTGGGTTCGAGCCCCGCATCAGGCTCTGTGCTGACAGCTCAGAGCCTGGAGCCTGTTTCATATTCTGTGTCTCCCTCTCTCTCTCTGACCCACCCCTGTTCATGGTCTGTCTCTCTCTGTCTCAAAAATCAATAAACATTAAAATAAATAAATAAAATAATATAAAATAAAATAAAGTAAAATCATAATATACATAGATAGCTGCTGATATAGGCAACAGATGTTAACCTTAAAATTTCTGAAATCACTTGCAGAGCTAATATTTAATGAGCATTTACTAGTGCTAGACTGTGCTAAATATCACACATTCAAGTCTCAGGACTACAAATTTGGTACCACTGTCCACCTTTTATATATAAGAATAATGCTTCCAGAGGATAATTTGCCTATAAAAGATTATATAGCGGCACCTGGGTGCCTCAGTTAAGCATTGAACATTTGATTTCCGCTCAAGGTCCTGAGATGGAGTCCTGCATCAGGCTCTACCCTGGGCTGGAACCTGCTTAAGATTCTCCCTCTTCCTCTTCCTCATGTGCTCTCAAAATATATATATGTATACATATTATATACACATATATATATTTGTATATATACATATATATACATATACATATTTGTATGTATACATATATATATACACATATATATACATATACATATACACACATATATATACACATACACACACACATATATATGTTTATAAATTTTTAAAAAAGACTACATATCAGGTGGCAGAATTGGATTTGAGCTCAGGTAAATTCACTTGATTCAAAATAATTATCTGGGGGCATTGGGTGGCTCAGTTGATTAGAGGACTGTTGGTTTTGGTTTAGGTCAAAATCTCAGGGTTTATGAGACAGAGCTCCACATCAGGCTCTGTGCTGCACAGAGCCTGCTTGGGATTCTCTCTCTCTCTCTCTCTCTCTCTCTCTCTCTGCCCCTCTCCTGCTTTCTTGCTCTCTCAACATAAATAAATAAACATTAAAAAATAATTCTCTGTATGATTAATTATAAGCTTAGGGTCATAAACCCAGAATGTAAGGCCTTACCAGAAACATCTTATGGGAATTCAAAACAGGACTATATATCAAGCAGAATATTTAACAGGTAAAGATCACTGACCTGGCATGGGAAGTGTTCGGGTAGCTGTTTCTAACTTTCTACTTCATTTTTTGGCTATTTAGGGTCTTTTGTGGTTCCATACAAATTTTAGGATTGTCTGTTCTAGGTCTGAGAAGAATGCTGGTACAATTTTGATTGGGACTACACTGTAGATTGCTTTGGGTACTAGTGACATTTTAACAATATTTGTTCTTCCAATTCAATGGAAAAGTTTTTCCATTTCTTTTTGTCTTCTTCAATTTCTTTCATAAGTTTTCTATAGTTTTCAGCATACAGATCTTTAACATCTTTGGTTAGGTTTATTCCTAGGTATTCTATGGTTCTTTGTGCAATTGCAAATGGGATCGATTTCTTGATTTCTCTTTCTGTTGCTTTATTATTGGTGTATAGAAATGCAACCAATTTTCTGTACGTTAATTTTGTAACCTGCAACTTTGCTGAATTCATGTATCAGTTCTAGCGGCTTTTTGGTGGGGTCTTTTGGGTTTTCCATGTAGAGTATCATGTCATCTGCAAAAAGTATAAGTTTGACGACTTCTTTGCCAATTTGGATGCCTTTTACTTCATTTTGCTGTCTGCTGATGCTAGGATTTCCAACACTATGTTAATCAACAATGGTGACAGTGGATATCCCTGTCGTGTTCCTGATCTCATGCGGAAAGCTCTTCAGTTCATTTTTAATTAGGAAAGCAGATTTAAATTATGCACAACCTGAAGGGGATATCAAAGGGCTGTAAAAATGATATATACAGTTTTTCACAATCTAAATATCTAACACTCTAAGCTCACTTTTTACATTTATTCATTTATTTATTTTGAGAGAGAAAGCACAACTGGAGGAAGGACAGAGAGAGGGGAAGAGAGAATCCCAAACAGGCTCCATACCATCAGCACAGAGCCCGACTGTTGGCTCAAACCCACAAGCCATGAGATCATGACCTGAGCTGAAGTCAAACACTTAACCAACTAAGCCACCCAGGCTACCCTCTAAGCTCACTTTTAACACCAAGTGGTCTTTATTCCCCATTTTTTTTTTCATTTCAGAAGAAGCTAAATCTTAAGACAAAATACACTCTCAAATATTGAAACACTTTTTTAAAAGTGTCCTTGAAAACACATGATTTCACTCATATGTGGAATTTAAAAAACAAAACAAACAAGCAAAAGGAAAAAAAAGAGACAAACCACGAAACAGACCTGTATAGAGAACAAATTAATGGTTACTAGAGAGGAGGTGGGTGGGAGCATGGGTTAAATACACGAAAAGGATGAAGGAATGCACCTGTTGTATTGAGCACTAGGTATTGTATGGAAGTATTCAACCACTCTTTCGTACACCTGAAACTAATATTACATGTATGGTAACTAATTGGAATTTAAATTAAAAATTATAGGGGCCTCTGGGTGGCTCAGTCATTTAAGCGTCCAACTTTGGCTCAAGGCATGATCTCTCGGTCCGTAAGTTCAAGCCCCGCATCAGGCTTTGTGCTGACACCTCAGAGCCTGGAGCTGCTTCCAATTCTGTCTCTCTCTCAAAAATAAACATTAAAGAGAAAAAAAAAAAAACTTATAGAAAGTGTCTTTGAGTTCACCCAAACATGTAGCCAACTTATTTGCTTATTATATACTCAAATTTCCATTGTGTATCAAAGTCTTATTGAGGCTAGT